TAGATGCCTTTTTTTTCTATGCATATGTCTTTCAATAGCTCATTTTATTTAGCTTGGCTCCTGCATTCATCAGACAAGGCTTTTACTTGTGCTGTGCATCGATCCATTATCTCTTGTAGCATTTGGCCATGTCTGTGTGTCCTAGTAGTGGTTTTTATTCTATCTTCACCTTTGCTTTTAGTAATTCATTTTTTTTTTAAGAGTCGGGCAAGCTCAAGTGTGACTGATGAACGTGTCATGTCTAGATCATTGAATAAAGCTTTCTATTGATCTTTCTACTTCATAAGTCTCTGAATTTTTAGTTCTTGAAGTAGTGAACTCTCTTTCATTTCTAACTTCAATTGTTTATTTTCTTGTTTCAACTTTTCTTTTTCGAATTTGAGTCTTCTTTTAGCTGTTTCCATTTTAAGTAAAGAATTTAAAAGAATGGGCTTTGGGGAATGACCTATTTGTTCACTAGGAAGCACAATGTCTTTACCCCTCATCGCGTGCCACACACTGTATTTTGGGGTGATGTTATAAGTAAACCTCCATTGGTTAACCTAATGGTTTGTTTTCATGCTTTTTTTATTCTTTCGACCATTCTATGTGCCCCTTTATCAATGAAAAAGAATTCTCACTAGTTAAGCCCATAAGTTTCTGGAATGAATTGTTCACATCCAGATTATCTTCTCACCAAGGTTGGGGTATAAGTAATAGCACCTCATAGGCCTAATAAGAACACTATGGCTAATTTTCATAATTGTATAACACTATATCATGATGTATCCAAAGTGCTTTCCAAACTATCCTTTGACTATCAAAGGCTCGAAAGTAAGAAACCCATTCTTCTTTTGACTTTGCTTGAGGCCATGTGCTGCAACAAAACTCATTGATTGGGATGTTGAAATGAAGGTATGGTTTATAAAACTGACTTTCTTTACATTCAATGTGACTCTTCATCTATACATAAAATAATTGTAGGCACCCACTGAATCAACCTTTACCATTTCTATGATAAAAGTTTAGAAAACAAATGGTTTTTGCCAAAATGGTTGGTGCTACATTGACTTGGTATGCCAACTGATCAACAAAATCTATCATTACGACATCAATATACCCAATGACTTTTGAGAAAATCACCAGCCCATACAAAGCTATAGCCATAGCCACTAACCTCTAATCATCATCTATATGCCCCTAGATGAAATCTCGTAAAAAACTTCATGGATAGCCTTACTTTCACCTTTTATTTTGACACATGCATTGACTTGAGGCAAGCTAAGTCCAGGCATTTGGGCCAACTTTTTATGATAGCCTACATTGTTGGACCAGTAAATCTTATCTGGGTTTGGCAAATTGAAGTGAAATAAGACCATATATTCTTTAATTGTGGGTACTAGTCTATTTTATTAAAGATGAAATACCTATAAGAAAAATCTCAGAATCGGATGATTGCCCTAATCAAATTATTGTTCACATCCACTTAAAGTAGTTATGTTATGTCTCCATATCTGTTCTCAAATGCCTCATGCCTTGTTCTACTTATGCATCTACAGATATTGCTTAAGTCGACTAGATCATTTTGTTGTAACTTGAGATGAACTCTCTCGAGTAATGATGAGATAAAACCCTCATACAAGTAATTTTTTTATTTTTTTTTACCTTCTTTTGATTTGATTTTTTAGTCAGTGAGTAGACTTATAATGGATTGATGTAAACTTTGATTGTATTTTGCTTTTCATGGATGTAAGTGAGAGATCTGATTTATCAATAACTAATATGTGGTAAATATTTTTTATATGAGAATGATGCAAATGATATTCTTAAACATGATAATAAAAACGATGCATAGAATGAAATGTGATAATCTTAAACATGATGATGGAAATGATGCATAGAATGGAATGATAATGTTGTGATGCATAAAATCAAACAAAATGGTTAGATAGCAAATTGTTCCTTATTGTGTCCTAATTTTGGGTCATATCTATTAATGGGTAAGAAGGGCTCTATCCTAAGGTTGGCCTCTTAGGGGTGAACTATATGCAGGGTTAAGAGATTTTGACCACTAAAAAGTTTTCAAATTATTCTTTACATCATCGTCCATCACAGACTAGTAAGACAGTCCAATTCTCACCCATCACAAGCTACCAACGGAAAAGATTCAATTTAAGTGAGAGTATTTCACTAGCCATTACGAAGTTTATCATCTCACGAGAGTATGGATACTTTACTCCCTCCTAAGAGGGATAGAGCTCGAGTATAGAGCTCATATAATGCAAATGCATGTGATAGTATATGTGAAAGAATATATAGGTTTCATACCCCCAATAATAAAATAAAAAACAAACGAAAAAAATGTTAGTAAATAATTAATTACAATTTAAAACCATTATATCAAAAGATAGGATAAATTCAAAAATTATGGCTTGACTCCCTATGGCTTCTCCAGTGGAGTCGCCAAATTGTCATAACATATAGATACGAAAATCTATAGCTAGATTTAACAAATGGAATCGCCACCATTCTTTTTTATCTAGGTTTGATTGATCATCTAAGAAATCTATCGTCTTAAGGAGCTCTTAAGTTTGATGAAGGGTCCCTAAAAGAATAGGTTTAGGTTTACAAACCAGAATATGGCTCGAAAGTTCATTTACATATGAGAAAGATTATAGCACCTTCACATACTCATCCGAATGATGATATCATATTATTTTAAATTTATCCTAAGGACTTGAGTCTAATAGTTTTAAATTTTTATGTTAAATATTGAAAATAATTTATAAGATTTTTTCATCAATTTACTAGAATTCTTAAAAATATTTTTTCACCTTAAAAGTATTCAAGGATCTCATTTGTTTTTTGAAGAGACTCCGTTGTCGAAAAAAAGTTTAATTATTATTTTTGTTGAAAATATATCTAATTATTCCACTATTTGGGCCAAATTAGAAATATTTTCTTATTTTGAATTTATAAAATTTTCACCATTTAGGCCTATTTAAAATTTTTTTTCTTGGAAAGAAAATAATATGACAATTATTTTTATTAAAATTTCATATAAATTATTTCACTATTTAGGCCAAATTTAGAGAAAATTTCTCACCTAAAGATTTCTTAAGAATTTACCATTTAAAATTTTTAAGAATCTCATCATTAGGTAATTATCACATATTTTTAATCAAAATTTTATTATTTAGAAAAGAATACAAATACTTGTATTAAATTTTTATCTAAATTATTTCACAATTTGAGTCAAATTTAGAGAAAATTTTTTACCTAGAGATTTCTTAGAAAATTTACCATTTGAAATTTTAAGAATCTCACCCTTTGGTAATTTGTATTTAATTCAAAAAAATTTTATATTTATATATATTTTTTTATATTTTATATTTTTTATTTTGAAAATAAATATTAATTATTGTTATTAAAATTTTATCTAAATTATTTCATCATTTGAGACAAATTTAGACAAAATTTTTTCATTTAAAAATTTTATAAAAATTTACCATTTGAAATTTCTATAAATTTCATCATTGGATAATTAATATTTATTCTCAAAATTTTATTTTTTATTATTTTTTTAAATTTAATCATGCAAAAAAAATACTAAAAAATAAACACATAAAATAAATAAATAAAATAAAAAATACCAAACAACGGCTTGGCTCGGCTAAAATTCGACTCGACTTGAGGCATAAAAAGTAGTTCGTGGGCATGGCTTAGGGGATGCGGCTTGGCTAAAAGGTTGGCTGGAACGCGGGTCGACCAAAGCGGATTATGCTGAGGTCGGGTTATCCAAATGAAAAATGCGCAGATCCTGGGTCTTTTTAACACCAAAATGATGTCGTTTTTGCGTATGTATAAAAAGTTAAAATCTGATTTTTTCTTCAAAATTTTCTTTTTCCCTCTCTCTTTCTTCCCTTTTCTTTTCTCTCTTTCTCTATACAAACCCAGAATTCGGTTGAATATTCAACCGAAAACTGAGAAAAGTTGTTGGAAACTTGGAAAAACATGCCAAAAAATATGAATTTTGTCAAAAAATTCACCAAAATCTAAAATTTTTTCCAAAAATTTTCAGAAAAAACACTAAATTTTTTTTTTAATTCTTAAAATTACTTTTGACACATTTTAGAAATTTTTTTGAATTCTGCCTTCTGCTCTCTGTTTCGTGTGTTCTTTTTTATTTTGTGTCCTGACCTATATTTATAGGCATTGATTAGAAGAATTTCTGATCAATGCCAATTTCTTTTGTAATTAAGATTCAATCTTTGAGTCCAATTTCAAATTTATTAACCCCAGATTCATGGCAAAAAATTTTCTTTCTAAAACAAAAATTATATTGAAAAAATAATTAAAATATAATTTAGATCAAATAAAAATAAAATAAAATAATAAAAGTAAAAATGGATCAATCTTGTCTTATTTGGATCAAGCCCAATTAATTTGAGTCTAAATTAAATTGGATATCTACACTTACAAAATTAAAATTAATTAAAATAATTAAATTATGAATTATGACCATGGTTAAAAAAAATGATTTAAAAGGATCGTCATGGACTTACCTGGCGCAGTGGCGGCCGTTTGCTTCTGAATATGTTATGGAGTTTATAATTAAAGTTTGCGGCGTGGCCTTATATGTCTCGGCCTTGTTACCGCCGGCCCATCTTCCAAAATTATGCACGAATTCAATTTTTTCCTTAAAAAAGGACTTTCCGTATTTCGGACAGCTCAGACATTTGCTCCCCACTTTCGTAGCAGGTGTTTTTTTTGTCTTTTCTCGTGTGCTTGGTTACCGATAAGTACTCGCTTTCTCTTTAAGCCACGTGTTAACTATGCTGAATCAATCAGCTCTCGCAGCGAGTACAGTTGAGTCGAAATCTATCGGTAACCCCATCCAGATGTGGGAGAGGCCAGGAGTTTTGATTAAGATATTCCTTGGTTTTAACATTTTTTCGTAATACCTGACGAACCCACAATCTTCTTCAACTGCCAGCGAAGCAAACAACTCCGATCTAGCGGCTGACAGGTTTAAGATCATAGGGTTTGCAGCCAACAAAAGTAACGGTAGTTTCTTCCCTTGATTCCGTTTCTGACCAAATCGAAGTTCAGTCCACTCTTCCCGCCGTCACCAAGTTTACGCATGACATCCAATAGAATAACTCCACGTCACCAAAACTATTATTTCCGTAACCTCACCAATCAACAAACAGCGAATAACGTTAAAATCATCGAAACAAAAAAAAAACCACAAAAAACCATAGGCAAGGAAAACATACACATGACTTGGACACTAAAACACTCACTAACAGAGAAGCTTAAGGGGCACGCTTCTGTTCTTTTCTACAAAAACCCAAAACCCCAACCGAGTAAAATTCCCTTCTCTCGTATCCTTTTTCTGAAAAATCGATTAAGGAAATTGCCCCAAAGAAGAAAACCCGAGGAAAAGTAATTTCCTTTTCTGATTCGACAAAAAAATTCCCAAAATGTGCAACAATCAAGATTCGATTCTTCCATTGATAGATATAGGACTAGAAGGAGATTCATCGAGGACGAGGGCGTTATGTCATAATCTTCCACCTGGTTGCCGATTTTACCCTTCCAAAGAACAGCTTCTTACCCATTATCTCACCGGGAAAAACAACTCCGTCGCCGCCGATCGTGCTGATCTGTACGGCTACGGTTTGATAAAGGAGCTTAATTTGTACGATTACAAGCCGTCTGATTTACCGGAAGGTGCGTGCTTTGTGTATGGATCTCAGGGGAGGAAAAGGCACTGGTTTTGCTATACGGAGAGTAGAGGAGGGAGCAGGATGTGGAGAAGGGCAAAGGGAGGGTTTTGGTGTAAAATAGGAAAAGTTAGGGATGTGGTTGATGGAGGAAATGTACCATTGGGGACTAGAAATAAATTTGTATTTTATGAAGCTAAGTCAGTTAAGACAGCAGTTAGGACTCCTTGGATCATGTATGAATATGCCCTGCCTCATCATCTGAAGGTAAGAAAAAATAGTTTCTTTATTTGGTTTTAATTTTTCCTTTTTTAAAAAGTTTTTTATGGGCTGATACTTTGTGGAATTACTTCTTGTTATTGATGTTTGGTAGATAGTGATAAATTGGAACTGACAAGTTTTGTATCTATTGCAGATTTAATTGTGTCCTCTCCAATCTCCAGCAAAACCATCTCTTTTATTTTGTTTTTAATGCTTCTCTCTTTAATGTTCTAAGAACTCCCATACCATTTTTTGATGCTTATAAATTGACTGCGACTCTTTTCACTAGATATTTGCTGGGGAACAAAATGATTTTCATAACTAACTTGAAGTTTTCCAAAATTTCAGTGGGTTACTTGTGCCCCCACTTGTTTGTATGGGGCTTTGCATAGTTTTTGAAAGGATATGTTGTTTTCCTAAAATGCTTTAGATAGATGATGCATCATTATTCATTATAGTGAACATAATCTTGGTCTTGTGTTCAGTTGGTGAGGCAAATAGATGTAAAATGATTTGTTTTTCTGAACAGACATATGAAAATTATTTTATTGTTGTTTTTACGTTGTCAATTGAAAGAAAATCTACCTGTGTGGTTTGGAGTATTCTGAGTCCTCAATATAGTGAATTTCTGCCCAAATATTGTAGTGAAATCTTGTAAGTTCTTCCTTTTATGTGAATACTCTTTCAAAAATATGAACTTTGTAATAATTAATTATGCTTGTTTGTGAGATATGCTATACCAAACATGTGAACTTATGTTTAGATTAGTTTCAATGGTGGGGAAAGGTCTGGGACTATTACTTCCACGAAAGTGATGTCTCTACTCTCTGCAGGCTTCTTTTGTCCTATGCCGAGTATTTTTCAAATGCCGAGTATCAGAGAATGTTTTAAGTAGTTGTGCAGAAGAAAGTGTTTCAGCTCTACCTCACATCGATATTCAGCATGATCTTAGACCTGACATTCTTGAATCTGAAAGTAATGGTGATGACTTCACTAAAGAGCTAGCTGATCCAATAGCAACTAGACCTGTTTCTCTTGCCAGTTTTGAGTTTCCTTCAGGCAACCCACCAGACACGCCCAATGACCTGGTAACCTAGTTTGAGCGTATTTTACTGTCATGGAAGTTATATTACTGCCATTTTCTTTCTCATTTTGTTACCGAACATGGCTTTTGCAGTAGTTTTTCCTTTTCTTACAAAGCATTCATGTATTTGAAGTCAAAATTGCATCTCAAATAACTTCAAACTTTTGTCATGCATGTACAGATAAGCCATCAGTTCTTTCCATAACAAAAAAATTGCAGACCTTTTATATGATGTAAGTTTTTGCAAGCTGTCTTGCTAATAGTAATACATACTCAGGATTATGAAGTAATTGTTCACAACGCACTTGTTTGTCCTTTTTTTTTTATGTCATGGTTGAGCATTAGAAGGAAGGGTATTATCCAATCATTTGAGTTTCTTGCATATTATAAATCAGATAACCCCATTCTGCCCATATTTGCTTCTTGTGCATCTGACATCTCTAGTGAAATTTTCAATATCTAAAGTCTGAACTCCTCAAATATTAAGTATGTCTAAACTTTTGTAGATGATGCATTCTTTCCTTAAATTGAACAAGTTTTTCTGTGCAACGGCTGTAATGCAGGTGGGAGCTCAGCTAACTACCAATGAGTTATTGTCAATTATAGAAGAAGATTTCATAGAGTTGGAAGATCTCAGTTGAAGGTGATACACACCATAAAGAAAATAGCAGCAGTTACCTCAGAAATAGCAAGAGAATTATATACGTATTCAAGAACCTAATAGGAAACAAGAATTTTCAAATCTGAATAGATAGAAATCTAATGGCTGGATCACTCACCTTGTCAATTATAGAAGAAGATTTCATAGAGTTGGAAGATCTCAGTTGAAGGTGATACACACCATAAAGAAAATAGCAGCAGTTACCTCAGAAATAGCAAGAGAATTATATACGAATTCAAGAACCTAATAGGAAACAAGAAAGTTTCAAATCTGAATAGATAGAAATCTAATGGCTGGATCACTCACCTTGTCAATTATAGAAGAAGATTTCATAGAGTTGGAAGATCTCAGTTGAAGGTGATACACACCATGAAGAAAATAGCAGCAGTTACCTCAGAAATAGCAAGAGAATTATATACGTATTCAAGAACCTAATAGGAAACAAGAAATTTTCAAATCTGAATAGATAGAAATCTAATGGCTGGATCACTCACCTTGTAAGGTCATTTTTCATTCCTCTTTGCTGGTAAGTGCTTGGACTGATAACATTCATGTAAGTTTAATAAATTTATCTGCTTGCTCACCATGCAGGCTGCATTCATGTGACTAATATCAGGAATTTTGCTTCAGAAGAATTTGAGTTATCAAGAAGCTATGCTTCAGACGAATCAAATTAGCACAAGTTTTTCCTTCAGAAGAATTAAATTATCAGGAATATTTGTTTCAGAAGAATAAGTATGTGGTACATTGGACGGGTCAGACAAATTTCAACATCAGATGTTTCAGCTGGCTTCCATGTTCTCCTGTTTCTCTGATGATGATGGGTGGAGAAATATTTTCCACTCACTTCTCAAATGCCTTCACTTGGCAATGTTTTTCTCCTCCTAGCCTGTTCTCTAGTGTGTTTCTGAACTTTCTTACCGCAGAGGTGCAAAAAACTGCCTAAATAATGCAGATTTCCTTTCCCATCTTGGTTTGTAATCTACTTTGAGCCAACTGCTGTGGTAGAATAAATACTAGACTGCTGGATCTAAATAAATTAGGAAGAAACTGTTTTGACTTTTGAATTGTATATTTACTGTTCTTTCTATGCTGCTTTGAGAAAGTTCTGTTGCTATCATCTGAATCGATGACAGGGCTGCTATGTGGTCTTTGGTGTTGGGCTGTTTGGTTGAATCTGCTAAAGCCTGGCATTGATTGTAGGCATGGAAAAATTGCAGTTGCTTGATCTAAAAGCTAAGTTTCAGTGGCACTGATTGAGCATCCGCGATGGTTGGTGGCTGACGAAGGTAAAACTTAAAAAAGATGAAACCGTAATTTTTCATATTGCTTTTTTATAAATGTTGGAAAGATTCGAGGGTGTTTTTAGTTTCCCGTTTTCTGTATTTTGAAAAAAAATTTTCCATTTTCGATTTCTTGAAAATGCATTCGGTGAGAAAAAAAATCAAAATTGTTTTCAGATAAAAGACTATAAATCCCAAGAAATAGAAAAATGGCTCGGTAAGTCTTGAGTCTACAAAATTTCAACAACTATTATCTAGTGCTTGCCTACGTCGTTTTCTCTTATTACAACTTTTCTTCCCTTCTTGAATTCGGATGAACTTTGGGCATTTCCTACAAGGCTGATATCAGCCATCAAAGGTATGTTCTGTACCCAACATTTCATCTTCTTCTGCCTGTCTAGCTATAACCTCCAAGCTTCAGCCCTCGTCCTTTCCTTTTTTGTTTTTCTTTTTTTTTCAACGCTCCGGAATCAAGATGCGTGTTCATTTCCCCGTATAGAACAAGTACAACAAGGAACAAAAATTTCTTCTACCAAGTTTCTCTGCTGTTTCATTTGTAATTTCCTTCTGTATTTTTGAAAAGTCCATGTTCTAATTCTATGGGCACGACCAGGTTTTAACTTCATTATCTTGCCCACAAGTGTCTTACCCCCTTTTTTTTTTGGTCCTCAAAACCAATAGAACTCAGGACGCTTCTCCTTTCCTAGATCCTACAATCCATTATGTGGTAATCACAGCCATTGTGTAGACCCATTGAATTTTAACTTCGTGGCAAACACTTGCCATTGCCATGTGCATAATCATTATCAATGCATTCAAACATTCACCACCTTTTTCATATGCTAACACATGCTGATAGGGGTGGGTCATTTAGTCCTTCCTTTACTTTCCAGGCCCAAACAAAAGAAAAAAAGGTTCATAATAATTCATTTAAGCTTTGCTCGGGTTCAATTAATTGATTTCGAATTCAATCACTCCCACCACCCACCGGTTCAGAAACTGGTTTTAAAGAGAGATTGTCTCTGGCGTTAAATTCACATAATTGCCAACAACCACACCCATGCCCTTAACTGGCTCACTTTTCCCTTAAAAATTTATAACCAGCCCATCATTCCAACTCGCAAGCATCTGCCCTTTTTAATAAAAGTCAAATCACCTTCCTCTTATTTAAATTTCTCCTCTCTCTCTCTCTCTCTCTCTCTCTCTTACTTTACATGTTTCCTTTTTGGAATTAGTGCCTAACGTCCAAACTATCGGTACATGATTAATTTCCAAATATGCGGAATGTGTTGGCGTCATATGTAGGTGATAGAGGTTTTTTCTTTTTTTTTTTTTGTCAAAAGCAAAGGCCAAGTTTCTAATATTCGCGTTGGACGAGGGAGAATCATCGATGCTCTTCTTATTGATCAATTTTCAAGGGAAGATTATTACACAATGTGGCTGTATAAGAAGAATCCATATGTCCAAATGGACACATTTGTAGGATAAAAAAGTAAAGAAAAGCAACCACCTTTGAATGGTTTGAGAGAAGAAGAAAATTCAATAAAAAAAAGTGTAGAAAAACAGTACAAGTTAAAAGGAAAGAGGCCCCCCACGATTGAGAAATGAACGGCAAAAGACGAAATATTAAAGGAATCTGCAAAAATACTCATTGGGTTGGGAGGAGAGGGAAGGGACTTTTGGGGTCATTGTATTCACACCTCTTTTAAGCAAAGCAATGATATTTTCTGTGCATACACCGGTGCATCTCCCCATTTAACATGTTCCACATAAAATTATACCGACAGAGAATTCAAGTTATTACCCCCATCTCAAGATAGTGCCTAATTTTTATTTTTCTGTAAGTGACCATCATTTGCCAAATCACACCTACAAGATTTTTTTTCCCTTGATAAACATGTGATGGACAAAAGAAAGAAACAAATTCCATTTATGGTTGGCAATAGTTCAAATTTATATACCACAATTTCACAAAGCAATCAAATTTTTAGGTGTTTATAGGGAAACAAGGGTAAGAAAATCTAAAGTCATTCAAGAGGGGTCAATTCCCTATTAAAACTATACCAAAGCCACGCTTGTGTTTAAGAGGTTCACGTGTCATGTTCATGCTCTTATGTACAATTTGGAAAAATTGTTGGTCTTTAATTAAAATTTCTTGGGTTTGTTGGTTAAAAAAAAATGTTGCTGAGGGACATGGAAAGGGAGAGACAGAGATGTATGTGGAATGGTAAACAGGCCTAAAGCCTTAAGGGAAAGGAAGGGCAGTGCTTGGCGTTGGCGTGAACGAGATGGAAACAAAAACAAACAGGGAGGGTTAGTGTTTTGTGGGGCTTTGCCTGCAGACCGCATTGGGAGATGGGTCTTAATTATATTAATATTATTTAATTTGTACGCTTAGTTTAGAGATAGAGAGAGTGAGGAGAAAAGGGTCGTTTTCGCTTTTTAATTTTTTTTCATATAGGAGAGAGCCAGAGAGTGAAAAATCTAACAAGGAAAAGAAAGATGGAGACCTTAGAGCCATTCGGTAAGCGGCCCAACAGGACACCTTTGCCTAGGTGTTGTTTGTTAAGTTCATTTGTTTTTATTGTTTTTGTTATAGGAAAGTGCTCTTTATGACCATTACTCTCTTTTCTTTTTTATCTCTCTCTCTTTCTCCTTCTGCAGGGTTATTTGGTAAATTACAGGTTACAGTACTCTTTCAATCTCTCTCTTTGTTTTAGTAGTATTTCATTTTATCTTTCAAAGGCTCTCTCTCTTCCTTCCATTGCTCAAGTGGGTTTTATTTTGTTTTCCTTCTTTCTCTTCTCCTTTCTGAGGAGAGGAGAATAGCTCCAAGACAGCTCTTTTATCTGGGTTTTGTGGTCTAATCCTTTATTTTCTTGTTGAGATTCTTTTAGATCGATCAAGGTCTTTCATTTGCATCCGTTAGGTGAGTTCTTTGGGTCTGTTTTCAAGTTTATTTTTTGCTTGATCGGTGATGACATATGGACCTTATTGTCTCTTGGTTTTGTTCTTGAATTTTTTGATTGTTTGGTTTAAAAGGGTAGTTTTTTTTTTTTTTTTTATCAAAGTTTAGATTTTTATGGTTTTTTATTTTTAAAATCTGCATACTCTTTTGAGGGGTTTCCTGTTTGCGTTAAAGTCTGTTATTTTTTTGTTGTGTTTTCACTAGATGTTTGATTATTGATGTTGTCTCTTGTAATAGCTGATTTGTAAAAGATGGTGCTCATAGTTGCCCTGTTTGACCTTAGATTCTCTATTGCATCTTGCGCTTGTGTTTGATTAGTTGTTTTCTGTCTTTCTTCTATTCTTTTTCCTGTTGTGTGGCGGCTTTGGGGTTGGGGTGGGTGGGGGTGCTGAGGGAAAATATAGAAGAGAAATGGCTACAGCTGGAATGCCTCTTTCTTGTTTGTGCGTTAAGTTTGTTTTTCTTTGTATGTTTTGCCTTTTGTTCTACATAGCAAAGCAAGGAAACTTTAACCTTATTTATTGTCTGCTTTCGTTTTGGTCTATAGTTGGATATCTGCTGCTTGTGGGTGCTCATTATTGTTTGATTTAGATTCCCCTCAAATGTTTTAAAATTTCCAGATTTAGCTGCTTGGTGCCCTATTGTGGTTCTCTGTTTTGCTGGTCGAGTTTAGGATTGTGGTTTCTTGATGCATACAAATGTCTGACATCATGCGTGGATTGAATTTGGGGTTAAATCACATTAGGATTGGTTACTTGACCTTGCTGTTAGCAGCATATTTACTGGTCTTTGTGTTAGATATTGACTCAAATTCTAAGTGGGAATAAGTTTGGATTCTGGTAAAATTCTATTGGTTAGAGAATTATTAATTTATTTAGGGTACATATTCTTAATGGGTAAGAATTCTTGGTGATCAAGTAATGGGGCTTTATAAATATAGAGTGGGTCTTAACTTTTAGAATTATGAGTTATGATTGTGGGAGATAGGTTTGTAGCTATGTGAAAAAGAGTTTGGAAAACTCCCAGTTACATGGGATAAAGGATGCTGCCTGGGTAGGGAGCATGGAAATTAGGAGTGTTGTGAGGTCGGGATTAGTATTTGTTTTAATAGTTGTTTTGTACTCTTTATAAACTCTATGTTTATAGTGGACTATTTTCTCTCATCTATGAATGTAGCCAATTGGGGCTGAACTATGTTAAATATTTCTGGTGTGATTTATTTTGTGTTGATCTTGTTGTAAAATTCGTTCTGCATAAAAATCCCAACATTTTGTTCTTATATGCTGTACTGGCAAATCAGTGTCTTTTTTAATTAGTTACATTGTTTAAACTCTAAACTAAAGGTTGCAGGTTGAGAGACCACTTGGCTTAATTAGTTATTGTCTATTGCTCCCACTAGTTACTACATTTGTTTATAATTTCTGGTTGCTTTCTTATCTCTGCAGTGTCATTTTTATCCTATTATTACTAGTAGATGCTAGGTTTTAGATGCAGTTGCTATTCCTTCGAAGGTTCTTTGTTTATGTTATTTTTTTCTTCTATGTTGTTGGAAAGCATGCATATGATTTTGAACTGTGCATTATTGAAGATTCCAAGTAGCATTTGCATGGCATTGCTCACCTTGGTGAATAGTTGTTTGCAACGATTGGTTTCCTGATGTCCGAGGCAAAAAAGTCCGGATAAGCAACATAAATCCTACTTGAGCTACTCTCTTACTACTAGGATAGAACCATGCATTATTGAAGATTCCCAATAACATTCACATGGCATTGCTCGCCTTGGTGAATAGATTGTTTGCAACAATTGGTTTCTTATTGTTTGAGGCAAAAAAGTCATATAAGCCAACATAAATCCTACTTGAACTATGTCCTTACTATTAGGAATCTGGAAATAGACTAAACATATTTATAATATCTTGTTGTGTATTTTTATACACAAGCACTTTGTGTAGAAACATTTTTAACGCCACTGCCTCTCTTTCACTTTATCGTGTCAATTAGTGGCTTACTATTTGTATTGAAATATTATTCAGGACTATAAAAAATTTGTACGGAAGTTCAAAGTAGCCCTAATGCAGGGGCAGAGGGGTACTGTTGGTTCCTTGCCTGAAACCTTCTTTGACCATGGTTCTACATCAAGTAATGCTGCTATAGACCAGCAGGTTTGCTGGAATAATATTCGAAATCCTATAGAAAATAGACTGCCTGATTATTTGCTGTCATCAAATGACATGAACATTGGATATGTGAACTCTATTGGTCGAGAGGAGCAGGAGCTGGGCAGATGGAGCTTGGGAGAGCCTAGCTCTAGTGGCACACAGAATGAGGGCAGCCATAATGAGCAGAAAATAGACCAGGGATGGTCATCTTCCATGAGTGTTTCTGCAAATGCTGGTCCAAGGTTAGAAGAGCAGCTGTATGAACCAAACTCTCTATTTGTTCAAAGTTCCAATTCTAATGCGGTTCCCCAGAATCTCAATTTAAATGCTGAGTTAGTGGGTCATGGTGATGGTAACCGTCAAGTTACAGAACGATCTAACCTATATGAGCCTAGTGGATCCGAAAATGAGCGGATTTCACCTGGTCCTGGTCCTGGTGCTGAAGCTTTACTACTTTCTTCTGGAAGTGGTGGTTATGTTGTGGATGATAATGATAGCAGACCTGATTGCTCATATGAGGGTCGTCGTGCATCCCGCAAAAGAAAGGCTCTTGAAGGAAATGTTGAGCAGTCCTCATCAAGTGGAAGTTCAAGCTACTTTCATCGTGCAGAAAGCAGTGCATGGCATGGAGTTTCTTCTAGCTATAGTGCAGGAAGCAGTGTGAATATGTCTGCCTCCCGAGGTGAGGTGCACCCTAGACTTGGATTAGAGTTTAGAGGATCAGGTGCTGACAGCATTCCTGGACCAATTGTTTTACCAATTCCAGAGGGCTCACACCGGAATTTCCGAATGAGAATAAACCCTTCTAGTATACAAGAACCTATCAATCCTCCGATATTTTCTTCAGGTGATACATCCAGGCAGTCTGTTCTTTCGTCTTCACAGCAGTCATCAAGACTTCTTCCAACTGATCATTCTCTGGACTTAAGGTCAACACCAGTGGTAGATAATGCAAGTCCTCAAAACCCGAATGTTGTAATTCGTGTTCCAACTTTACCTCGAAATGTGCAGCCATTTAGGTGGAATGGAGGTTCTGGCTCAAGAACTGGTAGTTCATCAAGTTCTAATGTATCTGGGGATAGAGATGCTGTACCACGAGAGGGACATCAATCAAGAAGCATGGCTAGAAACCTATTAGATCATCCTATGTTTGTTCCTGCACCTGAGTTGAGAACTTTGGTTAGAAATCCAACAAATCGAGGCTTAATCAGTGGAAATATAAATGTTCCTGGAAATGGTGCTTCTACATCTCGTGCAGGCACAAGTTCTGGTGCCAATGCATCAACTTCTTCCACATATGTTCCTCATCCTAACCCCTCTTCACAATACCCACGGAGATTGTCAGAAATTGTTCGTCGATCATTGATGTCTTCCCTTGGTGCTGAGCCTGGAAGCCAGGGCAATCATTCTTCACTTTCTTCAGGAGCACCTACTTCTCCAGAACAGATGCTACTTTCCTCTGGAGTAGGTAATCAGGGGCACCATCTTCCATACCCTAGGTCATTGTCTTGGTTGGAGAGACAAGATGCTGGTTTGCTTGGAATTCCCCCTTCATTGCGAACTTTAGCTGCTGCCACTGAGGGAAGAGGCAGGCTTGTTGTGTCTGAGGTCTGCCCTAGAACTGCATCCTTTTTACTGTGATAGTGCAATGCTAATTGTTGGGAATAACATGTGTATGCTGTCCTTTTCCGTAGTTGCTTTTATCTGAAAGACATGCCATTGGTCCTTGTTATCCAAATTGCTTGCACTAGTCTATTAATAAGTCAATTCATGTGTTGCACTTTAGTCTTTATTTTTATTACACAAAAGTAGATGCCAGTTCTCTTTTGAAGTCTTCTTTTTGCCTGCATACTACTTATTTTGCAACATTAAATAGTATTAGCAATGAACCCACTCAACTGGATCTGACTGATTATTGGGCAGATTCGCAATGTCTTGGATCTCATGCGTAGGGGTGAGAACTTGCGTTTTGAGGTAAGGCTTTCAATATTTATGGTGTAATTTGATGCAGTTCTATCTTAACCAATTGAAACATGGAAACATGAAAAAAATTCCTTTTTCCTTTTTTTGTTGATTGTACCTATGTACATATCGGTAGCCATTCTTCAAATTTGAGCTGTGCAAAGAGTGGTGCCATGCAATGTAGGTCCAGAGTGTTGTTTATGGATAAGAATATACTTCTGTCGAAACAAGTGATATTTTCTCTTCTAATTTGGCTTGTATGGCAGGATGTTATGATCCTTGATCAATCAGTATTTTTTGGAGTAGCTGATATCCATGATCGACATAGGGACATGCGGCTTGATGTTGATAACATGTCATACGAGGTAGTATCTATATTCTTGGCATCTACTATCCTTTCTGGGTTTGAAAATTCTCACATTAGAATTGCATTGTGGGTTATAGGAATTATTAGCTCTGGAAGAGCGCATTGGTAATGTAAACACTGGGTTGAGTGAAGAAACTATATTAAACCGTCTGAAACAACGAAAGTACTCTAGTGCACCAGGAGCTCAATTAGAGGCAGAACCATGTTGTGTTTGTCAGGTAATAAATTTTCTCATCTTCCGTTTCTTTACTGATTCTATGAGTCCCTTAAATAATTGTTTACAAACATGCAGGAAGAATATAATGATGGAGAAGATCTTGGAACACTGGAATGTGGCCACGACTTCCATGCTGATTGTATCAAACAATGGTTGATGCACAAAAACTTGTGCCCCATTTGTAAAACAACGGGTCTGACTAAATGCGATGACCAACTGTTTTCAGGCAATTAGTTCTTCCTCAGGATAGAGAAAGAAAGACCGGCATTGAAAGTTTGTGGCTTGGCTTCAGTAATTCATTAAACCCGATGCCTTAAAGTGTGCCATATGCAGCCTTCACAGTTTTCATTTCGAGATTAATCCATGGCACTGCTAATTCAATTGCCAGAGGCACTTTCTACTACCAATTCTGTCGAACAAAACAATCTTCTGGGTGGATGACACAAATGTCTGAAGCACTGGGAACAGAGCTAGTTTCTACATTTTTCATTTTATCATTGCACTATTAGTTTTTATGTATGAATCTTCAGCCCATTGGCGAGATAGATAATTGAATATCTTTTGATGCTCATTTTTTTTTATTTTTTTGGGAGGGGTTGGTGGTGTTGAGATAATTATGGATACTCCGAGGCAGGTCAAGTATCTTATCAACTTGTTTTTGTTTTTCAAAATTCTGCTGTTGCATTGAACACTAATTTTCAAGATCTCTCCATGACCATTAATAGGTTGATTCACTGTTCAAATCTGGGGAGGGGGTGAGGTTTGTTTCTGTCAATTCTCTGCGGTGGATCCTTTCAAAGCCTGCTTGTACTCAAGTATTCGTTCGTATTCTAAATTGTTTAAAGAACTTTGAATTATGGAGTTTTGAAATGTCTAAAATCATTAATCTATTTGTAGTTTGTTCTGTCTGGTTCCTGCACAAATTTGGGATAAGGGAATTTGTCAGAGAGATGACAACCTTCAACTTGAAAAAGTAATTCTATGACATTGAACAAGGTTTGAAAGCAACCTCCATTATTAACATGAGCTTGCAAACAAGCTTAACCCATACTTTGGTCGATAGGGTAGCGTATAGGCAACCAGGATTTGGAAGGATCTTCGGAAAGCGGACTTGACAATGTATCAAATTGAATATTGGTTCGTGAAGCAAGTTGGGCAAAAATCTGCAACCTCCATCTTCATCTTCCCTCGTATCTCTGACAAAAAGAATAAAAAACATGACAAGCCAAAGCCATGGTAAAGACTAGAGAATCTTTTGCCAAATGCCAGCAGGAACAGCAACCAGCAAATTCTGCCATTGTTTGTAGCTTTGAGCAATCTAATCTGTAATTCCCAAGCTCTGATTTGCGGCAGAGCTTGTTGCTAACACGCCACTAAAAGAAAAGTGGCCTCGGGAATTGCAGGACATTTGTAAGTCTTTTTCAATTAATGCTGCTTTCACGCCTAGCTGACGTTTGGTTGGATAAGCATTGGAGGCTGAAACATGTGTCTTTTGACTTTTTTTTTTCCTTCTTCTACTTCCCACCTTGTTTCTGAAGTATCTAGGCAAATTACATTAATAACACCGACGTCCCTTGAATGCAGCATATACCAGTCCCATCCCTCTATTGAACCCCAAAAACAATATCCACTCTTATTTCAAGTGAAAATAATTTTCATATAATTGGTCTATAGTTTGTCCGTCATTGAACATTAAAAAAACATTGATTTTATTTGGAAACTTGTTGAATCTTGTCTTAGTATGCATGTTTGATGGAATTCTTTTTAAAAATAGAAATGAGGACACTCAAAATCAACTTGTTTCTTGTGATACTTTTTTCCTATAACTAAAAATTAAATTAAATTATGAAAAATTAAAAATTGGAATTTGATTTAATCAATTTACAAAATTATTTTTAAAAATAATATTTAATAAATTAAATATTTAAAATTTAACATTTATAATCTTTCTTTTATTTCGTTTTATGTACCAAAAAAATTATGAAAAAATAAATAGTCTAAGAGTTTAAGAATCTAAATTATCAATTCTTAACAAGCACAAAGAATCAACTTACCAACATATGTTACATTTGCTGTTTATAAATTTGATTAAAAAAATTTGGATAACAAGCTGAAAAAGGTTCAATATACTTTTTGTCATTTTAAAGAAAAACCGTAAAAACGGATTGTAAATTTGGAGGTTATCAAGATATGGGGGTCAATTTTAAAATAAAATAAAAAGGGGGGCCAAAAAGAAAATAATAAAAATATTGGGCCGTCCGTTTAATTAGGGCGGGAGATTAACCAAAATTTGATTATCCAACTTTATGCACACTCTGTTTATTTCAGTAATCGTCATCTTCAAAATTTTCACATTAAAAATTTTTATGTCGAAAAAAAAAAAAACCACTCTTTTTAAACTAAAAGCCAACAGATTTGCACAGAAAAAGAGAAAAATAAAGAAAAAGAAAAGAAGCAAAAGAAAGAAGGAAAAACAAGTCTGAATCAGAAACGTTTCTTCTTTACTTTTGTCTCTGGCTCATTTTCATGGCGGATCTGTACGGATCAGCCCCATCTTCAAAGCAGGAACCCGAAGAAATCTCCACGTTGCTTAACCACCTTCTTCACAATTCCTCTTCTTCGTGCATGCAATTCAAGGCCAAGTACATTCACACTTTTCCGTCTCAAGTGCCGGAATTTTCGAATCCGGCGACTGATTCCTTCGCTGGGACGGAAATTCCTGTTGAGGTTCGGTACCGGCTTGGCGGATCGGCTGTTCGAGCTGATTCAGGGCCTCGAGTTAAATTCTCATTTCCTGAAACGTATTTTGAAGCAAATGTTAAAGATAGCGCCGACAATGTGTTGTCTTCTGCTGGTGATTTCAGCTACGATAGCGAGGTAAACGAATTTAAATGATTTTGTTTTAATTTTCAAAGATTTTCTTTCATTTTTTTTTCATAGAAGGCGAAAGCTTAGATTTTTTCCGCCAATCGTGAAAGCGTAGATTAAGATATCGTTTTTAAATCTAGAAGGTTCCGGAGGCATCGGAGGTTCCGTCAAATCAAGAGCTGCCTCGGAGTTCATCGAAGCGAAGCAGAGCAGCCGAAGTACATAATTTGTCGGAAAAGGTTTGACTTTTTAAGCTTTTTTTTTTGGAAATTGAAATCTATAAGAAATTTGATTATTTTTTTGTTTGATTGGCAGAGGAGGAGGAGTCGGATTAATGAGAAAATGAAAGTGTTACAGAATCTAATCCCAAATTCCAACAAGGTACTTAAAAACTACCATAACCAAACAGAGCCTTCTCATTTTTTTTCTTATAAATAGTTTTTATCTTTTTTGGAGTGATAGACGGATAAGGCTTCGATGCTGGACGAGGTGATCGAGTATTTGAAGCAGCTTCGGCTTCAAGTGCAGGTGCGTGCTCTCTTCTGGTTCTGCCATTTCTGTTTTGCGTTTTCATAAATTGGTGTATTACATTATGGTTTTCAATTTTCGGTGTTTATTATAACGTGCCAGATTTTTCTGTTTAATAGTCAAATATTTGGAAATCCCGATTGAGCTGAGCTGCTGCCCATGTTATATAGAGATGGAATTTTTAATTAACTATGCCTGCCCGGATTTAAGAAATGGTAGGAGTTATCTACTACATTGATTCTTTTTAATTTCCACTATTATCTAGTTATGTCCTGAATTAGGTAATGCTTTACTATGTTCTTAAGCTTAGAGCCTTAAGGGTGTGTTTGGTAGATCCTTAGATCCTTAAGGAGTTATGCTCCTGTCTTCTCTTTCATTTGAAAGTCCCTTCTTTATCCTGAGCAGGAAGCAGGAGGGTGCCCTCTTTCTCTTTTCTCTTTTTCTCTCCGTCACCATGGCATCTACCTTTCCTTTTCTACTACTTCTTTCATCCCATTCTCAGAATCCATACTTTATCTAAACTCTATAAGCATCCAGGCCTTTGTTGGGCTAAAAGCCTCTAATCCAATCACACCAACGGAAGCGAAATCAAACAATAAATCAAACACATAAGATAAAATAATTTAACGTGGTTCGGTCCAACTGACCTACATCCACGGATAAGAAACAAGATCCACTAGTTGTAGAGAATTAAAAACTTACATCAAATCATCAACTTCGCTCAACAATCAATACTCATAAGACACTCTCAATCTCCTCTAGTCCTATGGAGTATTCTCAACCCAAACAAATACAAACCCAAACCCTTGTGCACCCTTTCAACATAACCAAACACATATCCATATGCTTTCATACATCATACCTATGTGGATCCTCTCAGTCTCCTCTAGTCCATTCACAAACAAACATACATACATACATACCCATAAAACGTAGAGCCCTAATACTCCTATGGGGTGTCTATCCCACAAAACTCTATAACTCTCTTACATCTTTTTTTCATACCTAACCCTGTAGAGACTTCACATATTTATAACCATACAAACTTGCCCATTAAAAATCCCTTTCCTCTTAGAATTCTTCTCTTGTAAGTTAAACTTGCCTATTAAGAATCTCTTTTCTTTTAGAATTCTTCTCTTGTAAGTCAAACTTACCTATTAAGAATCCCTTTTCTCTTAAAATTCTTCTTTTGCAAGTCTTCTTGTCCATCAAGCAATATCTGACAAATCCCAAACAAATCTCTAATAAATTTCAAACAAATCTCTTATGGGATTTGAGTCAATATTCCCAACAATCTCCACCTTGACTCAAATTTCATCAATCATCTGTCTTCATGCTAGACATGCTTGGCTCCACCTGTAATGGAAGTCTTATAATCATCTTCTCTTCTCTTGTGTCTTCACGCTTCATACAAATCAATCCTCAATCTTCAAAACTTGAACTCGAACTCTTCTCTTGAATTGAGTTCCTCTAAGCTTATTTCTTCCCATGTGTTAAATCAAGCTCTTCCCATATCTCGAACTGTCAACTCTTCTCATGTCTTGAACCATCGGCTCTTCCCATGTCTTTAATCTTCAACTCTTCTTACGTTTCGAACCTTCAGCTCTGATATCACTTATTGGGGAACATCACAGCTCTAATACCATTTGTTGGGCTAAAAGCCTCCAATCCAATCACACCAACGGAAGTGAAATCAAACACATAAGAGAAGATAATTTAACGTGGTTCGGTCCAATTGACCTACATCCACGGATGAAAAACAAGATCCACTAATTGTAGAGAATTAAAAACTTACATCAAATCATCAACCTCACTCAACAATCAATACTCATAAGATACTCTCAATCTCCTTATGGAGTATTCTCAACCCAAACAAATACAAACCCAAATCCTTGTGCACCCTTTCAACATAACCAAACACATACCAATATGCTCCCATACGTCATACGTATGTGAACCCTCTCAGTCTCCTCTAGTCCACTCACAAACAAACATACTTTTTCTTATACCTAACTCTGTAGAGACTTTACATATTTATAACCATACAAACTTTCCCATTAAGAATCCTTCTCCTCTTAGAATTTTTCTTTTGTAAGTTAAACTTGTCTATTAAGAATCTCTTTCCTTTTAGAATTCTTCTCTTGCAAGTCAAACTTACCTATTAAGAATCCCTTTTTTCTTAGAATTCTTCTTTTGCAAGTCTTCTTGTCCATCAAGCAATATCTGACAAATCCCAAACAAATCTCTAACAAATTTCAAACAAATCTCTTATGGGATTTAAGTCAATATTCCCAACAGCCTTGACTTTGAAAAGATCATCCAAGATACAATAATTAAAAGCAGATCAACCACCGGACCACTGCAGCTGCCACCATCAGCTTCTTCTTCAGTGACGAAATGGTGGATAGTTGTCATGCCTCTGCCCTAATTTCTTCCATTGTCTTTGGCAAGGCTGAATGTAATGCCAACATCAATCTTTCACTTCCAGGAGATGCTTTTCATTCGTTGTGCATGCTAACTGCTAAAACTGCTCTAGGGCTCTCTTGCCCAGCCCTGGTATTGTCTACTGTGCTGACATGCTTGCCCTTTCCACCTGTAACCTCATCACCAAGGTAGCTGGGCCATTCCACACAGTTTGCCTTGGCCACAACAGCCTTCTGTCCAAAGTGTCTAGGGTTCAAGGGCATCCCCAGAGCTAACATGATATGCTCTCAAGATTTTTGCATTAGAAAATTAACTATTCAAGAGATGGTTGCACTTATTGGTAGCTGCACTATTTGATTCCCATGTTGCAAACAGTTTGCTGATAGGTTTTAAGGCTATTGCACAACTACACCAATTTGGTCCCACATATAACTCTTTAAGTTTGCTGAAGCACCGAAGAAAATGTTTGTGAATTATACTTAAGATCCCACACTATCGGCATTTACTGATGTCATGAGTCATGACACCATCTAAGTTTGAGAATGTGTATTATCAGAATTTACAAAGAGGATTGGGGCAAAGTGCTCCATTGAATGACTCTAGAACAAACCAGTTTTTGCACTTGAATTCTACTAATCAGTCTGCATTTTTCTATGATTTTACATATGCAATTGAGAAACTTAGTATTTATGATATCAAGACTGAGAGGGGTAGGAAAGGAGGGGTTAAGCACCAATGTGATGCTTTTAACTCTAGTCATACCTAGATCATTTTGTTTTTGGTGATGGCTGTGGACGATATTAGAAGAGATAAGGATTTGTCATATTTTTATACATTTATTTTGTACAATGATGATAAGATCATTTTTTTTATTTGTTGCACATGTTGTTATATTCTTATACATTTAAATGAACATGAAATGATAAAAACTAGATTTATTTTGAAATCATTAGTTTGATTTTTGTGAAGGTACAGTGCAATACAAGCCGAGCTAGAATCATGAAAAGCCAGTTTGATTTGTTGTCATTGCTTTTGCAGATGTTATCAATGAGAAACGGATTGAGTTTGTACCCTATGTATTTACCGGGTGTAATACAGCCAATGCAACTGCCTCCCACGGGCATAGGTTATGATGAAGGAAATGGATTCTTCAGTCCCAACACAGGAGCAGGCACATTTTCTTCAAATGAAGAAAGCTCGATGGGCGCTCCTTCTAATCTTTCCAACCCATGCACCATCTCAAATCAGCCAATTGTTGCACCTTCTGTAGCTAATATATCTAATTTGGAAGCTTCATATGGTTTTGAATTATCTGCTGAGGTGCACTATGGATCCTTCACCCACTCAACATCTTCTAAGGTAACTTTTGTATGAACATGTAATGAATCTGTCAGAAAAAAATTTCTTGGATTAATGCAAGCCATTTTTTTTAATGTGAAGGAAATCTGCAAGGAAGGCAGTTCACAAGTGCAATTAGAGATGAACCATGCTGGGATTAACACTTCATCAGGTGTTTCTTAGCCAAGCAGAAAATCCTCAAGAAACAGGATGTAAAAAACTGAGGCCACCATCACCATGTCTAACTCTTCCTTTGGTTCAAACACCATAGAAGCTGCAAATGATATTGAAACTGATGACCTTTATACTTGTTCAGGTTATTTATGTTATAAGTTGTAACAGGATGACACTATGGGATTGATGCTCCTTGCATCCTTTTCATATATGCAAAAAGCACGATGTTCAGGCCATGCAACTGTGCTTATTGTCCTTCCCCTGCATACAGTGATTATTACTATCATTTACAAATATACGTTTTCCCTTTTTAGTCAGATTTCCAAATGGACTGTTAGTAATGTAAAAACAGGGCATTTCCTTTGAAGCGGAGATGAAGTCGAGGTGGTTGCAGAAGGAGAGGATGGGGGTTTCTGTTTCGTAAAGGTAACATATATAAAACAAAGAATCTTTGTAGCAAATATGGTTTATTTTTGCCGCGTGATGATGATTGACATTCATATAAAAACTTAACTTTCAGCTTCACTTTGTTTCTTTATTAGCCTTTTTCTTTACAGAATCTTCAAAAGGTTTTGATAAGTTACACTTGACTAGCAATCATCTTTGAACCAGAAACACAATTGAAAAGTTTCAGAAACTGAAGCTTGTGCGTTTTATATATGATTGAGGGAAGGATACAACAAAGAAAAATATTAGCTGGGTTTTTATCAGATTTATCTGCAGTTTTCTGCACTTTATACATAATTGATATCATTATTTGCTTGAAAAAGAAGGAATTGGAGCTTTAATCATGGTTTGCTTAGTATTTTGTTGTTTGACGAGTCTGGGTGTCTCATATCTGATTGGCCAAGAGGTTCATTATTAGTCCCAGCTTCACTCACGTTTACACGTCTGCCATTTTGCATTTTGTTCTCAATTTTATTCAAACTTAAGTGCTGAATTCTTAAAATTAAGATTTATTTCAGTTAATTAATATAATTATTTTTTAAAAAGTTAATATTTAATAAGTTTAAGATTTGAATTTCAATATTTATAATTTTTTTCTTGTTTCAACCCTCTTTTATACTAAAAAAAAAATTAAATTAATCAAGATTCAATATTAGATAATCTTATAAAAAAACTTATAAAATTTAATTACATTCAAATCCTATATGTGGCATGTTCTAGCAATCCAAAATATCAATACCAAATTATAAAATAAATTGTGATAACAAAAATTAATTTAAGTTAAAAAATTAGAAAAGTGGGTATTTGAATTATATTGTCTAAAAGAAAAATCATTAGCTAAAATACTAAACCGAATATGCTCGAATGCACTAATAAAATCTCTTTTCACAGAAAAAATACGAGTTTTAAAAGGTTAGTGTTGTAAATAAAGGGATAAATAGGGTGAAACTAGACGAAGTGTATGATACTGGGACCCCACTTGAGAAATCCATTTTAATGAACATCTGAACAAAGAGCTTAGCTTCCGTTTTTGTTTGGAAGTAAGAAACATAGCGGCATTGTCTCTCATGATTGTATTTTGGTCTGTTTCTTAGAAGCCCATTTCATCATATTCTTCACTTCTTTACACTTTTGCCACTTTTTTCCTTTGTTTAACTTTCTCTTCATATTATAAATGTACAAAGTCACACCAATCTCCGCAAAGAAAAAACGTATGATAAATTGATCATAAACCCTTTTTTGGGTTCTTTTCAATTCTTTTCCTGGTGGATTGACCAGGGAATTGTGGTTGCTGTATTGAAGAAAAAGTTTGGTCATGAAACCATATGATACAAGGTCAATAGCCCAAATATAGATATGGAGATGGATAGAATTGCCGTAGAAAAGGTGGGTCAGAAGAAGTAGAAAAGGAGGGTCGAAAATGGGAAAGGAAAATGGTTGTGGTGATGGGGGTGATCAATCGGAGCATGAAATGCATATATGGACGGAAAGAGAAAGGAGGAAGAAGATGAGGAACATGTTCTCTAGTCTTCACGCTTTGCTGCCTCAACTTCCTGCTAAGGTAATTAACATAAATATTAGGATGAAAAAAGTTATGGCCTGAGGGAGAAAATGAAGAGATCATTCGTTTTCCATTATATCTATATCCAACTTTCATCACTTGCATGAACGTTTGCTCCAACGAAAAAAAAAATGGTTTATTGGTTAATAAGGTAATATTAATATATACTGCATACCTTGTCATTATTTGTGATAGGAACTCTTTGAAAAAAATTTTGATCCGGGACAGTTACTTAAATATCATAAAAGATTTTTTTAGGATTGGTTAGATATTGCTTATGGGATAAAAAGACTTGAAGAAGAAGAATCATAAAAGAAAATGGATTCTTAGACTTACAAAAGAAGAATTATAAGAGGAAAGAGATTTTTATAAGTAAGTTTGTATGCTTACAAATAAATAAAAGTTTTTATAAACTTAAGTATGAAAAAAAGATGTAAAAAAGTTATAGAGTTTTATGGGATAGACACCTTAAGACTACTGAAGATTTACGTCTTATGTGTATGTTAATATGTTTGTGAATGGACTATAGGAGACTGAGATGATCTATATAAATATGGTGCAATGATTGGACTAGAAGAAATTAAGAAGATTCACATAGATATGATACACATGTACATATGAGTATGTATTTGTTTGTGTTGAAAGTGTGCATATAGGTTTGTATTTATTTGAGTTGAGATATTCCATAAGATTAGAGGAGATTGAGAAGGTTTATGTGTATTGATTGTTAAGTGGTTGATATGTTTTGATATATGTTTGTAATTCTCTACAACTAGTGAATCTTATTTTTCATTTGTGAACATAGGTCAACTGGGTTGAACCACATTAAATTATTATCTCTTGTATGATTAATTGATTAATTGATTTCGTTTCCATTGTTTTAATTGGATTGATGCTTTTTGCCTACAAGTTGTTCATGTTTCAACTTCTAATTACTTGGGGTTCTTTCAAAAGAAATTCTAATGAAATATCTTTTCAGTTTTACGTAAACTTAAATATTAGCACATTTCAGTTACATTTGGATTGTTTTTATAATAATCTATAGCAAGTGACAAAGTTGAGATGTAAAGAGCAATTTCTGATACGAAGGCTAGCTTATACCCTTGCACTTGAGTATTATATGGTGCAAGCTTAGCAGAACAGTGATTTCTTTTTCTGAGTTGCATTAGTTTCCATCCGTATGTCTGTTTATAAATCTCCTTCTAGATAGATGTTATTTACTGGTCTATTGATTTGGAAATATCTGCTATTGCCTATTGCTACAGCAAACGTTAATTAAATATATTGCAGATGGACCCATCAATAAATAGAACAAACCATTCTTTATATATATCGTGTTTAACAAATCAAATGTAACTCACTTTTTAATTCGAGAAAGATAGTGAAGTTTCACTAGATCTAGTATATATATGTTTGGATAGCATATCAAATCATTGCATGTTGATTTTTAGTTGCATCAGAACCGGACTAATGTTCTTGCATGTTCAGGTTTCCATTTTATGACATCTACAGATCTCGTTTATTTAAAAGAAAAATTGAAATCTATTCTAGTAGATACTGTTGTTAACTGCACCTATGATCTTAATCGATTAAGTGTTTAATCCTTAATCTTGTACAGGCAGACAAGTCTGTAATTGTTGATGGAGTAGTAACATACATCAAAAACCTTCGTCCTTCAACAGACTCTCCAAAAGCTTCAAAAACAAAAGCTTGAGAAACTAAGGGGACCAATCATCCATAATTACATCGCAGGCGCAAGCTCCTAAACCAAGGGAAGCATTCTTGACAGATGATCAGGGACCGACAAATAACCATCCAATGATCATAGACATGTCTCAAACATTTCCAGCTCAAATATCTCCAGCTTGCTTTCAGACATGGTTTTCCTCAAAATGTCGACATTAATATGTGCGGGGATGACGCACATATCAGAGTCTGTTCACCGAGGAAGCCAGGGATATTAGCCACCTTATTGTACATACTGGAAAAGCATCAGTTGGGGTTGGTTTCTGCTCACGTTTCCTCGGATCAATATCGCTGCATGCACATGATCCATGTCCATGTAAGTACACTCCTAAGAAACTCTGCCTCTCAAGTGTTCTTTCTAAAACAACATATCTTTATTATTCACTACTGATGCTGACTAGCCAGAGTTGGCATTTTTCTCTCAATTTAATAGGTGGGAAAAATAAAATTTTGATTTTCTGAGTTTTGCTTATTAATGGCAGAATTCACCAGATTTATGACATCGCTCATCTTTTGGATACATGGAATGAAAATTTGTAATTATAATGCCTGTAATTTTCCTTCATGACTGTAAATTATATGCTCTTCCATTGGCATTAAATTTGGTAAATCCTAGAGAAAATTAATTGAATGTGATGAACATTGAAGACAAAAAGACCATAGAAAGAAACCATGGTCCATGCCACCTTAGTGCAGTGAATAAAGATACAAAAAAGGTCATCCAAAATGGTTCTGTAAATTTTTTTCTTTAAATTTTAGAAGACAGCTTAACATTGAAATTCGAAACGCCATAAATAGTCGGTGCCAGATTCAATGGTATACTTCAATAGCTGCTGTTCAAAAAGATGCAATTGATGCGTTTATATGCTTTAAGAATCATGTCTGCCATATTAAACTACTTTCCCTGACAATGCGGGGTTTTTATTTCCTGGTTTAGGCTGGCGGAGCGTCTGAACCATTTTAGGAGGCTCTGTCGGTGGAGCAGACATTTAAGCTGGCTGCAGGAGAGATGAACTTGTGGCTCTTGTCATGTTAATAATACTACTAGAAAATCAACACAAAGCTTGTTCAGTACTTTCCATTATAAGCAAAGGGTGGTTCTGTTCAATTACTCAGGGAACCCCACAGGGCTTAATCCTAGTTAGCCTTCCCTACAGGAAATTGAGGAAAGTTTCTGTCTGCATGTGAAACAAATCCACTGCTATTGGGTGACAAATCGTTTTCAAGCAATAATTGAATGTCCAAACTGAAATTTTGATGATGTAAATATGTAGAAGACAAAAAGAGTACATACAAAGTTCAGTTTACCAGTACTGTTTCATCGCCTTATCTTTTACCTCTTTATTCTGCTGATCGATTTGTTAGCTGCAGGTGACATTTGGGAATCCTGCCAATAATTTTTTCCATAGAAATAGAAATCTAATTGAATTCCGGGTTGAGGAATGTGATTCCCAAAATGAACTACTGTAAATAAAGAAAGGTTAATTGAAGCTTGGCCTCAAAGTCTGGGGACATTATTGAAGCCAAATGATGAAGAAGTCTCTTGCATGGCTACTTATCTTCCTCCTTTATTGAAATCTCATCAACGTGGCTGAAACACATTTGTCAAATTATTAATTTCCTCTCTTTATCTTTTCCTTTTTCTCTTTGCTGCACAATAATGCAAAAAATGCACATGGGGTTCCTGTGTATGTTCGAAGAAAACATCCCTAAACTTCAAGCAACAAAGTAACAAAAAACTAGCCCAAGAAGCTAAAGTTCTTGGCTTTACTTCGCATTGACTGCCATACCTAACAGTTGAGGCATTGAAATCATGAGAAACATGTCATCGATGACATTTGAGGATGACCCCTAAATCGTATTTTTAACCACTATTGGAGTTGACATGAACATCGTCGAAGAAATTTCACTGTCAGGTGGGCAACGCTGGCGGACCCTTTAACCAGCCTTTCGCTTGCACCTTAATTAAATCGGCCTTGTTGCTTTGCATATCAAAGGGCAAAAGGGTTGGTAAATGGAGGCATATGAGCTAAGAAATTGTGACTTCTCTCCCCATGTGACTAATCCGTCCAACATTCAACATCTCAAAGGGAATAGCCAAGGATCGCATTGCCCTTTTTAGCTCATAACGTTGACAGCAAACGTTCATGCACATTTAAGAGATAGACAACTCCATCCTTGCAAAAAATTTTGCATGTTCCTGGTCAAAAAGTAGCGACAGTTCTATTTTCTCATGTTCTTGTAAGACCAGATATATTAGGATGGATTTTAGTCGAATTAGCTTTATCATTTTTAATATCTAAATATATATGATAATTGTTGAATAGCACATAGATAAACATTTATTTAATTATTATTCCATATATAAAACAAGACAAAGAAAACTAATTAAGATAATCTCGTTTTATTCCTTTGCAAGGCATATAAATATGCAAGAAAGAATTAAAAAAAAAAAAGAATAATTCCAGTGAAAGAGTTTAATACGACAACAACCAAACACACCTGACCTAAACACAAGTAGACAAAGCGTCAAAGAATATTTATTTAAAAAGCATAAGTAAAAGTGAATCGGAAGGTCCACCCAGAAACCAAAGTCAAAGACGCTCACCAACTCTTCTTTCCACACTACTAACATCCCATTTTGTTAGTATTTTTGTATATTATATATATAAAAAAATCGTTATCCTTTCTCAAACACCTCTTATCTTTCCTTATTATTATTTTTTTTCTTTTCCTCTTTCGTTAATCTACTCGCATGACTAACTCCAAAGAAGCAAGCACCCACCAAAAACCCAAAACAAACAAAATCTTCATCCCTTAATCATTTGCATCTAAAAAAAATTATATTATGCTTATCAAAATAAATAAATTCTTTTATTTCAAGATTATACAATCATTTATGGTAAAGCTAGTTATATAATGATTAAAAATATTGTATATATTATCCGAAAAATTTTAGTTTTGATAAAATTTTAAAAATAAATAAATCATTACTAAGTTTTTCTAGGAATAATCAGGAAATGAATATAAGCTTTGACTATAATAGATTTTCTACTACGCCAATAGTAAGATTAGATCATTAATTATCCACCAAAACCAAAGAAAAAAGCTTGTTTGGTTTCCAAAGTTTTTCCCCTTATAATTCTTAGACGTCCCATCATGCCAGCTACTGCTGTCTTTTTCTTTCACCCTCTTCTAAAATCCCACTCTGCTTCTCCCACTCTTGAGACATCCTTCTCTCTCTTTAATGAGCTCATATCATCGTTCCCTTCAACAGTTCCACTCTCGCTCCTCCTCCTCACATTCGCCCTTTACTTCCCTTCATTTCTTGACAAAAAAGATTACTTGAATTTGACCCTTTTTTAGGCACAAAAGAAACAAAAAGCAAGTAACTTGAAAGAACAAGAAGAAGAAAAGACAACAGAGATAATGTCTGATTATTCATTCTTAAACGATCAGCTCTCAAAACGCACCTCAATTTTCGGTTTGCGTTTATGGGTTGTTCTTGGAATCTGCGTTGGAGCTGCTATTGTCATTTTTCTCTTCCTTATCTCCCTTTGGTTCACTTCTAAACGCCAAAACAAAGCTACCGGCAGCAGCAGCAGCAACAACAACGTTAAGCCTACTCATAACCCTACTATCCCCAACGTTTCTAAAGAGATTCAGGAAATTCGGGTAGACCGATCTCGTCATTCTAACCAGGACCTTAAGCTTAACCAAGCTTCAAACCCGGACCCACTTCCAGAATCCGAGTCTGTATTGGTTCTTCATTCAGAAGAGGACAGCAGCCCTGTTTCTGGGCGCAACAGAATTCACATTGAGATAGGAAAGGATCATCGGATTGCATATCCTGAACCTGGAACCGGGTCGGGTCATGGATCGGGTGAGGCACGGTCTGGTGATCAGGGGATGGCGATTATGGCGGTTCCGGAAGTTTCCCACTTGGGGTGGGGACATTGGTATACTTTGAGAGAGCTTGAGGAGTCTACTAATGATTTTGCGGCTGAAAATGTGATTGGTGAAGGCGGTTACGGAATTGTTTACCGTGGCGTTTTGGAAGATAATACTAAAGTCGCTATCAAGAATCTGCTAAATAATAGGTAAAAAAAAAAAGCCTACCTTTTTAGTCAAATTTGAGGTTATTTGGGAGTTTTTCATTCATTTGTTGGATTAGTGTAACTTATTCAGAAATGAGAGGAGGCTTTGTTGCATGGAGTTTCGTGTTGGGGAACATTGATTTTTGTTTTGGGTTTTTCTCGTTTTTTTCTTTAGGGGTCAAGCTGAAAAGGAGTTTAAGGTTGAAGTGGAAGCAATTGGACGCGTACGGCATAAGAATTTGGTGAGGTTACTTGGTTATTGTGTGGAAGGAGCTCATAGGTACTTACTGACTGACTCTGTTATTTGTTCCATTTAGGTCTTAAATTGCTGCATTTAAAGTTTGTAATTTATGTTAATGCTTCCAACTTTTACGAATTGCAAAATTTCCGCATCATGCTAGAATTTGCTAAGTGCTAACATACTGAATTGGTGGTTGTAGGATGCTTGTTTATGAGTACGTTGACAATGGGAATTTAGAACAATGGCTTCATGGAGATGTTGGGCCTTGCAGCCCTCTTACATGGGAGATCCGTATGAATATAGTGATTGGAACTGCAAAAGGGTAAAATTTTGGTTGGCCGAAAATGGTAACAGAGCTTGAATTGTCCTTGGTTTTCTCCCCCTATGTTTGCTAACAATGTTGTTGTCTGCTAAATTTAAAATTTGACTTAGGTTGACATATCTGCATGAGGGACTTGAGCCTAAGGTTGTTCATCGTGATATCAAGTCAAGCAACATTTTGCTTGATAAGCAGTGGAATCCAAAAGTTTCTGACTTTGGCCTAGCAAAGCTCTTGGGTTCAGAGAGGAGTTATGTGACAACTCGTGTGATGGGAACATTTGGGTTAGTTGAACTTCTCTTTGTGAAAATCTTCTTGGTTATCTAATGTTGTGATATGGTCATGGCTGATCAATTAGTACTGGTTCTGTTTTGTAGATATGTGGCTCCTGAATATGCTAGCACTGGCATGTTAAATGAGAGAAGTGATGTATACAGCTTTGGCATTCTTCTTATGGAAATAATTTCAGGAAGAAATCCGGTGGATTACAGCCGGCCTCAAGGAGAGGTTTGTAGGCATTATTAAGTCAATTGATAATGTTGTCTGATCATCAATTCTAGATGGCTTTTCTTGGTCCTTTTTCTTTTCAATGTAAGTTTTTTCAACTTTTAGGTAAATCTGGTCGAGTGGCTTAAATCGATGGTTACCAACCAGAATGCAGAGGGTGTTTTGGATCCAAGGTTGCCACAAAAGCCCTCTTCCAGGGCACTGAAACGAGCCCTTTTAGTCGCTTTACGCTGTGTGGACCCAAATGCTCAGAAAAGGCCAAAAATGGGGCATGTGATTCATATGCTTGAAGCTGATGAGTTCCCGTTTAGAGATGTAAGTTGAAATTGATTATTGATGCTTGTACCTTATGATAGTAACGTCATTATCTACAAGATGCATATTCTTAACTTTATCTCTTATTATTGTACTGAGTTTTAAAAGTTCCCATACTTTTGGTTATACAAAAGTTCTTGGAGAAGTACAAACGTTTCCTAGACAAACTAGTTTATGGTATATTTTGTCATACAATTTTTGCTTCCATATGTTTTATCTAGATGTTTGCCAATGTGTTTTTGTCAATGTAGTGCAACAAGTCATATTTTAAAATTGCTTGGGTTGGGAAAAATGCCCATTTTTCATGTATACTCCATCTCATTATTACTGTCGATATTGATGAGAAAATCAAGAGAAGATTAGAAACTTTTAGTGATGCTTTAGTTTAATTGGGAAATAAAACATATTTTTACTCGTAAATCAAGTATCCGTGTTCTTGTAGAATCTATTGGATGATAGTTTCGTCCAACCCGTGTTTAGAAAATGCTTTTGCAAAATCACATTTCTTAAACACATAAATCCTGCCTAAATGTGTAACTGAAACATTTCTTGCTGCATTTAAATTTCAGGACCGCAGAGCTGGACGGGAAAACATGCGATCACTACAAGATGGTGTAAAGGATAGATTGACTGACAAACGAGAACGTGTAAATGAATCAGGTGATAGTAGTGGGTATGAAAGTTGTGCCCGAACTAATAGATTGTTATGGAGAAAACAAGAATCTGAAGATCTTGCAAATTCATGATAAGGTGAATTGACCCAACTTCTTTAGCTGATTATTTTCATCCAGAGCCAGCTCAGGCAAACAGCACTTTCACCTCTGTATGTGTATAATTCATGATGTCTTTAAATGCTTTATTTTTTTAGATTGTGTTGAATAGATGCATGTAATACCGTTTCTTCCTATATTTCATCAATCATTAAAATGATGTTATTAACATAAGAAGTAGCGATATTTTGCCATGCTCCGATGCCGAAGGACATGTTGCCATGTTACTGTTTATAATGCTAAATACCAACTATTATTTTGTTTACTTCATTAGTTGTTAGGTACTCAGGTAAACAAATCCATTTCTCTTGTTTCCCAAGCTTGCTTATGAAAATTATAGTGTTGGTACGAACTGATAATTCTTATTCGAAACTGGGATTACCGAATTATTAGAACCAAAGTAGGAACAAATGCAAAATCCAATTTGTACACATGAATCTATTAATTTCTTTGTAATCTCAATTGCCGACAGGCGACAAGAATCTACATCATTAGATTGCTATAAAAGATGTTGCTGGCCAGCAACATGGTGGAGCAGGTAGATTTCAATAGTAATATGGGGACATAATCCATAAAAGAAACATGATTTGAGCATTCAAATGCATGAACTTTGAACAGAAATTCCTTTGATTAAAAATGATTATATGACAAAATACTCTTTGCACCAAGTTAAGTAGGGATGAGTATTTAACATTTGGGTCCTACATTTCACATTCATCTCCATTGCTTTGCCCTCAAGGCTTTAAAGGAAGTAGGGGCTTTGTTTGCGACAGGAGAAACCTTGACAGCTAAAGGTGTAGAAAAGGGGGTGGAATCATTGGACCTCTCCTTTTGTGTGGTTTGTTTGAAGGGACTTTCCCTTTTTTCCTTCTTTCCTGATTAGGCCTTTGCTTTCCGGTGACCCTATATCCTGTTTTGGGGGCTTTAAATTTTCTGATAACCCTTTGTTTTTTAAATCTTAAAAATTTGACTCGTTTGCCCGCACATAAACTTTATGAGATTTGCTTTTGCCAATTGCTTATTAAGAATCCCATGAGAATATAAAGCTCAATTTTATATCGAGTGCCTACCCAAAATGACGACGATTCCAGGTTTGTCTAATATGATAAGATTTTAGACCCATTTTTATCATTAATTGAAGAAAGTTTGCTTTTGGTGCAGGAATCATCCCCACAAACTTTTGTTTCGTTTTTTTTCCCCCTTATTGGTATGTTCTTCCTTCGACGTTTCTTTGTGACTGAGTCTGCAATAATGATTCACGACATATCCATGCAATAACAAAAAAATTCATCAAATGAGAGAAATTTTCATTAAAAATATTTTGGATAGCCTCCTTTTTCTTCTCTAGGTATAATATTTTGTAAGATGTCATATCATCATTTCTAATTCATTTAAATAAAAAAAAACCTTTGATTTTTTTTTAATACGGATCGAGATTAAATATTTTTTAGACTAATTGAATTCAAACCTTAAAATATGTCATAACTCTTATTTTAATCATTCAATTAAGGTTCTTGTCAACATAACCTGAACTCTCCATAACGCAAATATAATTTACAAAATTTATGAAGATATGATTATATTTTAAATAATTTTTCTTTAATGAAGAAAAAGTGAAAAACCCATAATAAAGGTGAAAAAGACTAGCCGTTGAGATTTTGTTTTGGACAAATGGAGATGGTTTGGGCCTTTTGGGCTTAAGGGTTAATCTTCCGATAGCGGTGGGCTTGCAGCCGTAGGCGTAAATTGAAAGATGAGTGTAGTACTCACCGTCAGGGGTACAACGGCGAGAGTACAGCTGGACTCTTTTAATGACACCTGTTCGCTCAGTCTTAATTAGACTTAACGGCTAGAATTCTCGGAAACCGATTTTTCCTTTGTTTTTTCCGGCTCCGCTCTTCCGCCTCGGAGATAACTCAGTTAAAATTCCTCCCATTTGAATCAGTGTAAGCTTAATTTCATACCCATCTTTTCTTTTTTTTTTTTTTCTTGCTCGGTTTTTTTTTGCTTTTATTCTTTCTATATGACTATGATCTGTTTGGAACTTCGTTCAATATTTCTCTTATTCTTGCTCAGTTTGAACCCATTCTGAAATTGATAATTTGAGAAACACTTACTGATGTAACTTTGTCATGTGATTAATGAATTATGCATTTTTTATGTACCCAAAAAAAAAAGCCTGAAATTATTATAGTCATAATCTGAACTGACATTCATTTCCTGATTACAGTGTGACGAATGTATAGATAGAAGGCCTTACCTAGAATTTGAGGGCCACTATGGGGCTTGATACTATGTGGGAATATTGATCAGTCCACTTTACATAACCAAAGCCCACCTGGGGAGCTTCTTCATCAATCTCAACACTCAGAACAAAACTCTGCTTCTGATATTTCTCAGTGAATGTTAAGAGTAGGAGGCTTGACTAATATTGTCATTCCACTAGAAGTTGCTGCAACTGCCTGATAAATGGATTTTACGTCTCCTACATTAGTCACAACCCTGGTAAAGTTCTTTACTTTGGGAGAGCTGTCATCTTTGCTAAATATTGCAATAAAAGATGGGTAGTTTAGTTCAGTTCTCTCTTGGCTGCAATTCCATTGACTTCGTCTGAGAACAGCTCTCATCTGCACGTCATTGTAGCCTAGGCTGCACAAGAAGTCTATGTAATCCTGGAATTCAATGTCGTAGATGAGTCCAGGACACATGGCTTTATTTGGGTTGATATGACCTGCCCCATAATCTAGAGGTGTTCCAGGGAGGTCAAGATGTTGGTTTGTCAAAGCAGTTCCATTGTTGTTGATAGTATATGCGGAGGTCATCATAGCTGATCGGATGGCTGCTGGGCTCCACTCTGGGTGAACAGCTTTAAGTAAAGCTGCCACACCTGCAACATGGGGTGCTGCCATTGATGTGCCTGAGTATAATGCATAGTCTGTCACCAACATATAGTTGCCTGTTTCCATGAAAGCCCTATTTGGTACTACTGCTGCCAAGACATCAACTCCTGGAGCAATAATATCAGGTTTTAGAACAGTTGGGTTAATTGGATCTGGTCCTCTTGAAGAGAAATCAGCCACTTGGGGTGCAGGTTTTATACCCAAACTTGTAAACATGAACCTCATGCTTCTTATCTCTGCATTACTTGCATTTATTACATACTCTCTTACCAACATTCCTGAACTTGTTGGCAGAACGACACTAGGAATGTAGTAATCTTCGGGATCTAAGTCTGACCAGTCTGACATTAATATACCTGCATAAGCACTTACTCTGTCAAGCTCTTCCATTTGACCATAAATATCAATGTTGCCTCTGTTGTCACAGATGACTACTTTTCCTGCAATTTCTTTTGAATCCAGTGCTCCCATTTTGCATATTGCTTTATTTTCATAAACTTTTCCATAATACAGTGGTTTATGGCTAATGTAAATGCTCTCTGGAAAGTATGATGTTCCTTCTAAAGTAAACCCATTACCTAGAGTTACCGCGGCAGTGAAACTGCGATCAAGTGTTCCAGCCCCTACAGTTGTGATCCACGGTGCTCCATTGTATGTTGAATTACGACCTCCATCATTACCAGCAGCACAAACAACAACAATCCCTTTCTCAACCGCTGAAAGAGAAGCAATGGCAATGAGATCATTGAAATAAGGTGTCTGGTCAAAACCAAGAGATAATGACATGATATCCACGCCATCTGCGATTGCTTGGTCCATCCCAGCTAATACGTCACTTGCTGCACTATTTCCTGAATCTGTTTCCCACAAAACTTTATACATGGCAACGTGTGAATGTGGTGCTACCCCGCTCGCTGTGCCTCTTGCATATCCCAAGTGACTCACTCAGAGTACATGATTACCTGCAGCTGTGGATGATGTGTGGGTTCCATGCCCATCAAAATCTCTTGGTGAGTCATAGTCTAATTCCTTGGAGATATTTCCTACTGCAGCTTGGATTCCTTTGCTAAATGATCGAGCACCAATGAGTTTTTTGTTGCAAGCTGAAGGGCTGAAGGCTGTGCCATTCTCACACTTTTCCTTCCATCTCTGTGGTATTGGTGGCATTCCCTTGTCACTGAAACTCTCACTCTCCGGCCAAATTCCTGTATCAAGAACACCAATGATTACACCTTCTCCATATGAAGCAGCCGGCCATAAGCCAGAGTTATGTTTTAGTACAAGGAACTTTGGGGAGTGCGTTGTGAATAGCTTGCCAAATGATTCCTGATATGTAGCAAGATGAGCTGGAGATTTCTCAATTTCAGATAACTGAGAGGATGTGAGCCTTGCACTGAAGCCATGAATGATGTGGTTGTAAGAGTAGAGAAACATTTTTTCATCAACAGGATTTGATAATGATCTAAGATTAGAGCGGTGCCATAACTCATGGGTTGAGAAAGAAGCAGGTTTATAAGAATGGTCCATGTGGACTATGTATGTCTTGTATTCTTCAGGTTGTGACATTGCATTGTTGATTTCAAGCAACAACAACAAAAGTAGCCACGAGAGAACAAAGAGTGAGTAACTGTGGAAATTTATCCTCCTAGACATTGCTTCATAGAACAAAGCATGGGCCAGGAAGATTTCAATTCGATAGTTTTTGATCTTACATATATGAATGCCGAATGCAACAGCTTTGTTAATTGCAGAGCGTTAACTTCAAGTCTGTATGTTTGTTATATTTGATTTCTTTTATGTGTCAAATTCCCTTGGTATCTTCTCGAACGTTAACTTCAACCTTATAATCATATGAGACAGATTGGATTTTGTTCATTTACTATTGTTAGCTTCTCAACAGAGATTTGTTTGGTTCATTTGGTTTGATGCTTCTATTAGCTTAGATGTTTGTCTGATGATATGGATCTTCTACTCCATTGATAAATTACTAACTTTTAGGAGAAAAATACACATTCTTGCTTTGAGCCTTCTTCATTTTCAAGAGCATTTCTTTTTCCCATTATTTCTTAAACTATGATTTCTCTGCTCTGTCTTTTATAAAAAAATCATAAGTCATTCTCAAAAGCTTATGATCTGCTTGTCATCTTTATAATTCTTTCAATCTCAATTGTTTTATTAGCATCAGCCCTTCTTAGCCTTGCTCCACCTTGTTTATCACCGTCTGCCACCGCATTAGTTCTTCGGATCAACTCCAGTTTTCATCTGTGTCTTTTCCCAGGACGTTCCGTTGGTTTGCATTTTGCAACCTCTCGTCCGCTTACTCAAATTACTTTGCAGCCTCTCGTTCGCTTCCTCGAAGTACCCTCCACAAATGCATACTCAACCTTAGCTTAGATCACAGTGGTCACAAACAAGCTTGAATTTTTCATATTTTAAGTTTTGCTATATGGCTAAAATAATAAAAAATTTCTTTCAATTTTATTATTTTACTTAAATAAACGCATATTTAAATTAATTTTTAATTTGCTCTCAAATAAATCTTTAAGTTTTAATTTAAAATTATGTAAACTTTTAACATAAATAATTTTTTATTTGAAATAACAATTTTTTGAAAATAAAATACCAGTTTAATTTAGATACGAATAAAAAAAATAAAGATTTATTTAAATACAATAAAAGTATAAAATTAAGGATATTAATCTTATTCATATCCTATGAAAAATTTAATTTTTTACTTGAATAAAAGTAAAGATAAATATTATATTACGATGATGAGACGAAGATGATTTTAAATTTTTTCATCAAATATAAAGATAAAAATAAAAACGAATAATATAGCATTTGTTTGTACCAACACTTGTACCATATAGATATATACATATTTAGTAAATAAATTTTTTATTAGATAATATAAATTATTATTTTAATTAATTAGAATTAATATAATTATATTTTAAAAATATATATTAATATATATTTTATAAAAAATTATATAAATATACAAAATAAAATTTTTAAAAAATTATTTTTATTTTTTTAAAAAAATTACGAATTTAAAGATTATTCATACTTCCTAAATAATCGTGAAAATGAAGATGAGAATAAATTTGAAGAGTATGAAGATGAGAAATAAGTATAATATAAAATTTTGATGATGGGATTGGAAACGGTTTCCCACACACACCCTTCTCGGTTGACGTCCTTATTTAATAAAGTTCTATTTTTTAAAATCCAAAGCACTTTTAATATTTTAACCGATATATTTATTTTTATCTTCTAGCTATATATTTGCAATTCAACAAATTATTATTAGATCATCAAGTTCGAGATTGCCTAATGAATCTTCGTGAACTAGCTAATATCAATCTATTTCTATGTCATGCAGCTGTGCAAGAATTAAAGAAGCAACTAGAAGGTGGTGACTGGTGATTAATCCTTGCCAATATGTTTCACATTGTTGTACTGCTTCACCGTTTCCAGAATAAAGCAGAAAACCGAGTTATAGAGTTAGCATAGATTCCTTTTACACTTCATTAGTTTGAGACAGAAGGAACCTTCAGTGATAGCTTTTATTAGGCATTTATACCTATCAGTTTGGCAATGATCCATGTAGATATCAAAATGTTTTCTTGATAATCTTGAGGGCCTAGGGTTTTTTGTTCCCTGTAACAAAAATAATATATAGCCAGATCCTTGTTGGACAAGGTTAAGAGACAGATCCTTGTTGTTCATTTTTTTCGTTAGAAAAGAATAAAATTTCCTGAATGATTCTACTGCCAATATATGTGGTTGTTATGAATAATATAGATCTCCAAATTCCAGTTCAGGTTTGCTTGTTCATATAGAATTAAGAAATTGGAAGCATTATTTGTCTTCTACCAAGAACATTATTTCAACATGAATCTGTGACTGATCTGTCATAAGGCTTAAATCTTCAAGATTTACCCGATAAGAAACAAGAGGAAAAACAATAACAGGATTTAGAGATCAATAATTATGCTAACAATCTCAGTTAGAAATTCAGGACTACCACAGGGCTTGCAACGATGTGGCTATTTTGATCAACCCAATTCAGATAACCGTAGGCCACTGGAGGAGCTTTTCCATCCATCTGTACACTCACAACATAACTTTGCTTTTGATATTTGCTTGTGAAGGTTAGAGTGGTTGGCTCTACAATGATTGACATTCCATTGGTAGTTTTTGCAATGGCCTGGTAAACTGATTGGTCATCTCCCACATTTGTCACAACCCTGGTAAAGTTCTTTACATTTGGGGAGCTAGCATTTTTGCTAAATATGGCAACAAAGGATGGGTAGTTTAGGTCAGTTCCCTCTTGGCTGCAATTCCATTGGCTTTGTCTAAGAATAGCTCTCATCTCTGTGTCGTTGTAGCCTAGGCCACATAAGAAATCAACATAACCCTGCCAATCTATGTCATAGATGAGTCCGGGATTCATGGCTTTGTTTGGATTGATATGACCTGCCCCAAAATCTAGAGGTGTTCCGGGAAGGTTAGTCAGTTCATTTGTCAAAGTAGTTCCATTGTTGTCAATAGTATCTGCTGTGGTCATCAAAGCTGAACGGATAGCTGCTGGGCTCCATTCAGGGTGAACAGCTTTCAGTAAAGCTGCCACTCCAGCAACATGAGGTGCTGACATTGATGTGCCTGAAAATAATGCATAATCTGAAGCCAATTCATGGTTGCCAAGTATTCCGACTGGAATTATTGGTGGGACTGCAGCCAACACTCGGACCCCTGGAGCAATAATATCTGGCTTTAGAATGTTTGGGTTAAGTGGGTCTGGTCCTTTTGAGGAGAACTCAGCCACTTGTGGTGCTGGCTTGGTGCCGAAACTTGTGAGCACGAATCTCATGATTTTTACCTTTGCCTCACCAGCTGCCCCTATGGCATACTTTCTAATCAAAGCACCGGAAGAAGTTGGTAAAACCAGGCTGGGAATGCTGAGTCCATCAACGCCATAAAGGGTCCAAGCTTCCATAAGTATTCCTGCAGCTGCACTAACTCTTGCAAGCTCGTCCGCTTGTTCAAAAATGCTAAACCTGTTAGTGTTGTCACAGATGACAACCTTTCCAAAGACTTCGCTCTCATTCAATGCTCCATAGCTGCATATTGTTTTGTTAAAATCACCTTTTCCATAGTACAAAGGTGTATCTCCAACTATAACACGGTCTGGGAACTCTGATTTTCCTTCGAAGGTTAGGTCATTCCCCAAAGTCACTGTCGCAGAGAAACTCCGATCAAGTGTCCCAGCCCCAACAGTTGTAATCCATGGTGCTGCATTGTGCGTAGTATTAGGTGCTCCATCATTCCCAGCAGAGCAAACAACAACAATCCCCTTCTCAATTGCTGAAAGAGAAGCAATGGCTATGATATCTTGGAAATAAGGTGTCTGATCAAAACCTAGAGATAATGACATGATGTCAACACCATCTGCAACCGCCTGATCCATAGCAGCAAGAACATCACTTTCTACAATATATCCTCCAGATGAGACTTTGTACATAGCTACATGTGCACGTGGTGCAATTCCTCTGGCTGTGCCCTTTGCATATCCAAATTGACTTGCACCTGGTACATGGTTACCAGCGGCAGTAGATGATGTGTGTGTTCCGTGTCCCAAGAAGTCTCTTGGTGAATCGTCTCGGGAGTCTGTTTTACCAGCAGCTTGAATACCTTTGATAAATACTTGGGCACCAATAAGCTTTTTATTGCAACGAAAATGACTTGTACTATTCTGGCACTTGCCCTTCCACCTCGTGGGAATTGGTGGCATACCTTTTTCGTTGAAACTTTCACTCTCAGGCCAGACTCCTGAATCAATCATTCCTATGATCACACCTTCACCATATGATGACGCATTCCACAACCCAGAAGAATGCTTTAATCCAAGAAACTGAGGGGAGTGAGTGGTGAACAACCTGCCGAATCTCTCCTCGTGTATGGCAATATGAGCTGGAGATTTCTTGATTTCTGATACTTGAGATGGTGTGAGCCTGGCACTGAACCCCTGCATGGCATGGTTGTATGAATAAAGCAGCATCTCTTTGTCATCAACCGGATTTGACAATGCTCTCAGGGTGGCTCGGTGCCAAGATTCATGGGTCAAGAATGACGATGGTTTATGTGAATGGTCCATATGGACTATGTAAGTCTTGTATTCTTCAAGTTCCGGCATTGCATTGTTGATTCCAAGAAACAAAAACAGTAGTAACGACAGAACGCGGAGGTGGTAATAGCAGAAACTCATCTTTCTAGTCTTGCGGATGGGCTAATAACTATAGACTAGGAAGACCTGAGTTTGATGGTTGTCTATCCCACTCCCACATATATATACATGTATGTTAGAAACGGAACAAAGGACAACGTTAATTGCATAACGTTAAATCCAACTCAGTTATGTTCGATTTCTCCGAAGTTTTGCTCATGAATGTTAACTTCAACCTTGTATAAACCGGTAAGATTTTTGTTTGGTTTTTCTGTCATTATCTCAGTTTTGGTTGGTTATGGTTGTTGGTATCTCAATTTTTTTGTTCCTTTCTTTTGGTGAGTAACTTCCATAAAATGAAATGGACTTTGGTTTCGCTAATGGTGCTTTGTTTTCAAATGAGGATTACTTGTTCCTCCCGCCTTGCAATTATTAACAAAACCATAGTTTGGTCGCTATTTCTATGTATCTGCATGTAAAATTGTATAATTTGGATTTTCTTCATTTTAAAAAAATTATGAAATATATTAATACTAAAATTTTTAAATTTTATAAGTGAGATTAAAAAAGTGACATATATATTTTTTAATATATATTTAAAAATAAAAAAATTAATTAAAAATAAAAATAAAACATATGTCAATCAATTAACACCTGTTATAAAACTAAAAATTTATACTAAAAATTTGCCGAATATTAACTTTTTTTTATCTCAAAATAAAATAATAGGACTTACAGTCCATGTGGGAGCCTATTAGAAAGCTCTTACGGTGCTAAAAAATGCATTTTATGATTAGACAGATGAGAATCCTTAATTGATCATAAAATCTTTCTGAAAGAGAGGGAGGGTAATAGTACGATACCTGACCTGGGATTTTGAATATATTTTTTTGGAGGGGGTGTTGTTTCTGTTTGAAAAACACTTTGCCTTTAATAATTTTGATCCAATGTAGATAATATGGTTCCCAATGTGTGGCAAAATAACAGTCTGGTAAGATATAATTAAAATCTTTATATTTTCTCATTTTAAAGAAGAAAATCATTATCACCATACAAATTTAACTTCGTGCTGGGGTTTACCTTACAGTTGCGATATATATAATCAGATGCTTTTGCCTAACCAAATCCCAACATAGACTTCAAAAAAAAAAAAAAAAGGCTTGTATATATTGAGCAATTGAGCGACAAACCCTCGAGTGACTAAAACCTCACATTTATTAATTTTTTGAACCCTTGATCTTCTCATCCTTATCTACTTAAGGAGGATATTACGCTATTACAGGTTTTTTATGTAATCATGAAAATTAAAAAAAAAAAAAAAGGAGCACTTTTTTATTTAAGAAAATATTTTAATTTTTATTTTTTAGAAAATAATTTTTATTTTCTATTTTTTTAGAAAATGTATTTAGTAAATGAAAATAAAAATTATTTTTAAAAAATATAAAATAAATAAATAAATAAAATACTCAATGATATCATTATAAATAGCATTTAATTATAGATATAATATATATTTATTAATTAATAACATTAAAAAGTATTCAAATATGATAACTTTCAAAACATAAAGAAAAAAAAATAATGAATATCGCTTATTTTCAAAATTAAAAATATTTTTTTATTTTTATTTTCAATTATCAAACACATTCTAAATCATATTTTTCATTTTTCAAAAAATAAAAAAATATATTCTGTTTTCTAAAACTAATCACTATTTTATTTCCTAAATACTTGTGCTTCTACATTATTTCCCAATTACTAGTGTTTTTGCCGCATCATCACTTTGTCATATTTCTTTTCTTTTCTTTAGGAAAAAAAAAAAAAGAAAGGCAATTAAAAGACATCAGTGGCAACATGAAGTGGCAATTAAAACATACAAAAACCAACAACCAGCATTGATTAATGGCAGAGAATTGAAGCAAGTAAGCAACTTATCGATGCCTTTAATCTTATTTTTCATAGAGATAATGGTTAAAAGGAGAAATAAAATATCAGCAAATCATGACCACTATAGGACTTGAGACGGTGAGATTGCGTTGATCAATCCACTTGATATAACCATTAAGTCTGTGGAGAATCTGTTTCACCAATCTCTACGCTCACAACAAAACTTAGATTTGGGTATTTGTTTGTGAATGTCAGAGTGCTCGGTTCTACTCTGACTGTCATCGCATCAGAATTTCCTACGACTGCCTGGTAAACTGACTGATCATCCCCCACGTTAGTAACGACCCTGGAAAAGTTTTTTACTTTCGGAGAGTTGGCTTGTTCACTAAATATGGCAACAAAAGATGGGTAGCTCAGGTCAGTTTCCTTTTGGGTGCAGTTCCATTGACTTTGTCTAAGAACAGCTCTCGTCTCCGTGTCATTGTAGCCTAAACCACACAGGAAATCGATATAATCTTGTGTATCCATGTCATAAATGAGTCCAGGATCCAATGCTTTATTCGGGTTGATATGACCTGCACCATAATCTAGGGGTGTTACAGGACCAAGATACGATTGATTTGTCAAAGTAGTTCTCCATTGTTGTTGATGGTGTAGGCAGTGGTCATCAAAGCTGATCGGATGGCTGCAGGGCTCCAGTCAGGGTGCACAGCTTTCAGCAAAGCTACAACTCCAGCAACATGGGGGGGTTGCCATTGATGTGCCTGATTTGAATGAATAATCTGTCACCAACACATAGTCGCCTATTCTTATTTTTGGAAATGGTGGAACTACAGCCAGCATGTCAACACCTGGATCAATGACATCTGGTTTTAAAATAGCTGGATTGATAGGATCCGGTCCCCCTGAAGAGAAAAAAGCCACTTCTGGTGCAGGTTTTGTACCCAAACTTGTAAGCACAAACCTCATGGTTTTCACTTCTGCTTTACTGTCACCTGTTACATACTCTCGAACCAAAGTTCCAGAAGAAGTAGGCAGGACTAGGATGGGAATGCTAAGATCATCTAAAGCACCAAAAGGGATTAGCTCTGTCGAGATTATACCTGCATATGCACCTATCCTGTAAAGCACGTTTATTTGCTCTGCAATAATGGTAATTCCAGCATAATCGCGGAAAACTACCTTTCCAGCAGTTTCATGCTTTTTTAATGATTCTGACCGGCATGTTGTTTTCAAAGAATCACCTTTTCCGTAGTATAAAGATGCATTTGTTATTAAGACACTCTCTGGAAATGTTGATTTTCCTTCAAAGTTTAGACCATTTCCTAGAGTCACTGTCGCAATGAAACTTCGATCGAGAGTACCAGCACCAACCGTTGTAATCCATGGTGCGCCATTCTGTGTAGAATTATATGCTAGCTGATTACCGGCTGCACAGACAACAACAATACCTTTCTCACTTGCTGAAAGAGATCCTATGGCTATGACATTTCTGAAATATGGTGTCTGCTCAAAACCAAGAGACAATGACATGATATCCACGCCATCTGCAATTGCTTGGTCCATAGCGGCAAGAACATCACTTTCAGCAATAACTTTTGTGTTTGAGACCTTGTACATGGCAAGATGTGCAAGAGGTGCCATTCCTCTGGCTAGCCTTTGGCATATCCAAATTGACTTGCACCTCGCACATGGTTACCCGCTGCAGTAGATGATGTGTGTGTTCCATGTCGAAGTGAATCTCTCGGTGAATTGTCTGCTTGGTCCGAATTGCTTGCTTGAATTGATTTGATAAATGTACGTGCACCAATAAGCTTTTTGTTGCAAGGAAAAGGGCTAGTTGTACTATTCTCGCACTTTCCCTTCCATCTTTGAGGGATTGGTGGTATCCCTCTGTCATTGAAACTCTCACTCTCAGGCCAAATACCTGAATCAATGAGACCTATGATCACACCTTCACCATATGATGAAGCAGGCCATAAGCCAGAAGAATGCCTTAATCCAAGAAACTGTGGAGAGTGGGTGGTAAGCAACTTGCCAAAGGACTCTTCGTGTATGGCAAGATGACCTGGAGACTCCTTGATTTCGGATACTTGGGTGGTTTGAGCCTGGCACTGAATCCATGCATGACATGGTTGTATGAATATAAAAATAGTTCTTCGTAATCAACAGATTTGGACAAAGACCGTATGATGGATCGATGCCTTGACTCATGGGTTAAGAAAGATGGAGGTTTCTGAGACTGGTCCATATGGATTATGTGCGTCTTATATTCTTCAGGTTTTGACACTGCATTACCTAGTAGGAACAATAACAATAACCATAACAGAGCACTCGGTGAGCATCTGCTGAACCTCATCGTTCTATGCATGGTTTTAAAGAGAGAACAGGAAAGTTTGAACTTTATGATTTTCTTTCCCGAATTTATTTATGTTCAATCCTACAAAAACCTGCATAAATATTATTATATACAATAACTTTAAGTCTGCGTCTCCTAAGTTTCTTCTATTTGTCTCTTTCTCATTTTGCTTGTCATGATTCACGAACTTTAAATTCAACTCGTTTTCTTATTTCTGTCTTCATCTCAATTTTGGGAGCTTGCTTCTGTCGGTATCTCAAATTCTTATTTGTTAATTTATGGTTTTTATCTATTAATTTGTTTATTTATTGACACAAAATTTTAAAATTTTATAATGGAAATATGTTTTAATCTTTTGACAACATAAAAAAACTAAAAATTTGTGTTGGACAAATAAAATTGTGAATTTTGTTATAATTTATTTATTTATTTGTATCATATAAATTAAAAAAAGTTAGAAATAAATGAAAAATTTTCCAATAATGAAATTATTAAAAGAAAATTGCAAGTATAGTGCTTGAAATTTTTAGGTGATGATTTTTCTTAGAACTTTACTAAAAGTGTTTTTCAATAAAAGTATTTATTTATTTTTAGTAAAATATTTAGTAAAAATAAGGATAGGTAAAATAAAAATAAAAATAAACTTTTTTCTATAAAATTTTAAATTAATTTATAAGGAAGTATCTTCAAGAAAATGAATGGCTTTCTTGAATATTCTTGAGGGGAAGGAAGTTTTTTTTCAAAATTCTACCAAAATATTAAAAAGAAATCTAAAAATTTTTCAACATTTAAAATAATTAAATTTAATTAAGAATAAAATATCATTTACATAAGACCTTTTTAAGATAATATAATTAATAAAAAATATAACACTCAAAACATAACATAAAAAACAAAAAACAAAAAATATAATTGCAACATATGATGTACTATATATATATATATTTAATTTTAATATTTAAAAATTAAAACGCCATTTGCATGCTTATCCCAACACTTTAATAATTTGAAATTTCTAGTCAAGTTCATGTGTTCTGTAGAATCATTAGTTGTCAGAATAAATGAACAGTGGATAAAACAGATTTACTCCATTAATTCTTCCTTCTCTGACCTGTTTGCGAATGGAATTTTGGATTCATTGACTTATTCAAGCCCTGGGATAAAGCTATAAATTTCATATCTGGAATGGAACTTGAAATAGGGGAACAAGAAACTAAGCCAAAAACAGAACAAAGAAGTCTCATTGTTCTAAACATAAACAGTTAATCAGGAACAAGCCTATAGATTTATCCAGATCAAAGATGATATTAAAGTTGGGGGGAATCAAGCTGTGTCAGAATTGGATTCTTACAGTTGGCTTCTTTAAACAAATGAAATTCAATTATCGAAGTAGTGCTGCAAGTGATAAGATAAAATAGGGCAATTCCTACAACAAAGGGTGTTTATCTAGACTTCAAATTAAGAAAATTATAGATCAAGTTCATGACATTGAATTCCATTAATCTGATATAAACAATCATTCAAATGTAAAAATTAAGGGTAAGGGAAAGAAAAAAGAAAAGAAAAACAAAGGAAGTGAAAAAGACGCTGGTCACATCTTTTCATAGTAAACCTTTTGTGATCACCTCTATTGCACAAAATGTGAATCGAAATTAATGAAACATGTGCTGCATTTATTTGAAAATCATACTGCTGTATTTTTTTTGGGTTCCTGTATGTATTTAGTATGACGAGAACGTAGATGATAACTTGGGTTTAAAATTTATGATTAAGGCTTGGAAACCAACGAGCTCTGGCCCGGTTGGTGTCCTCCCCTTTGGGGGATGATGATACGTGGGTAGGGTAGGGATCAATTGTGGGCTCGAGGCCTATTAATCCATGAAGAAAAAGTGAAAAAAAAATAAAGAAACGTACAAAAATTGAGCCTTGCAGCTATGATGTGACCTGGCTTTTCTTGCTGACAGCTAATTGATAATGCCATTCGTACCGTTGACTATGACGATAAAGCAAATGATAACTCGGGTTAAAATTTATGATTAAGGCTTGAAAACTAACAAGCTCTGGTCCGGTTGGTTGGGTCCTCCCCTTAGGGGGATGGTGATACGCGGGTAGCTCGAGCCCTATTATTTCATGAAGAAAATGTGAAAGAAAATTATGTGAAGAAAACAACGTAAAAAAACTGGGCCTCGTCAGAAATGACGTGATTTGGCTTTTCATGATGACAGCTAATTTATAATGCCATTCGGGTCCCCTTTAATTCTAGAGAATGAAAAAAAAAATGAATACGATTAAATGGAAATCGTCTTATTTGGTATCAAATTTTATTTTTTCTTCAACATTTTTTAGGACTCAGTAGCTTTTAACTACAAACCTCATTCATTCGCTTCCATATATAAATAAAGCAGGGCATTGATCTTGGTTGTCCAAGAAAAAAAAATGGGGTTTTAAAATGGGCTTTGTTATCTAAACTTTCTGCACCCTGTCTTCTTGGCATCTCTTTTGTTCACTCTCCATGTTCAGACAGAGTCGGTAAATACGTATATTGTCCATATGGACAAGTCCTTCATGCCCAAAATCGTTACTAGCCATCATAGCTGGTACTCGTCGACAGTTGATTCTCTGAAATCAAGAAACAATGCCTCATCGAGCAACCCTCGATCCTCAACATCTCTCATATACTCTTACGATAGTGGAGCTCATGGTTTTAGCGCTGTTCTATCCCCTGATGAACTAGAAAGACTAAAGAAGTCTCCAGGATTTGTCTCAGCTTATACTGACAGGAGGGTCACTCTTGACACAACACATACCCCTGAATTCCTGTCACTCAACCCTTGCTCCGGGCTGTGGCCTGCTTCAAACAATGGGGAAGATATCATTGTTGGTGTTATTGACTCTGGTGTTTGGCCAGAGAGTAACAGCTACAATGATGTGGCATGACTCCAGTTCCACCCAGGTGGAAAGGTAAACGCGAGGAAGAACAGGAATTCAACTCCTCCATGTGTAACTTGAAGTTAATTGGAGCTAAATACTTCAACAAAGGTGTGATTGCAGCAAATCCCGGAATCAACATAAGCATGAATTCTGCTAGAGACACTGATGGTCATGGAACACATACTTCCTCCACTGCTGCTGGGAACTATGTCAAAGATGGAGTATCATTTTTTGGTTATGCTAAAGGTACGGCAAGAGGAATGGCCCCACGTTCCAGGGTGGCCATGTACGAGGTCCTATCGGATAAGGGGCGCTACTCAGCTGATGTTCTTGCTGGTATGGACGAGGCTATTGATGATGGTGTCGATGTGATTTCAATATCTATGGGGTTTGATGGAGTGCCATTGTACGAGGATCCTATTGCAATTGCTTCATTTGCTGCTATGGAGAAATGTGTGGTAGTCTCATCATCGGCTGGAAATGAGGGGCATAGGGACCTTGCACAATGGAATCCCATGGGTCATGACAATTGCAGCTGGTACCATGGATCGTTCTTTTGCTGGAATTGTGTCTCTAGGTAATGGGAAAACCATCACCGGATGGACCATGTTTCCCGCAAGTGCTTTACTTCAAGACTTTCCATTGATTTACAACAAAAGTTTATCAGCATACAATTCAAGCCTATTGTTATCTGACGGCCCGTATGGGATCATCATATCTGACAATACCGGTTCTCTCTATAATCAAATAGCACGTATGTCAAAGGCGGAAGGAGCAATATTTATTTCTAATAAACCTGAATTTCACCGTATGCCCTGTCCTGGTGTTGTGATTAGCACCGAGGATGCACCTGCTCTTATCAAATATGCCACAAGTAATAAGGATGCTACAGCTAGCATTAAGTTTCAACAGAATTTTAGGGACAAAGCCTGCACCAGGCGCGGCCTCTTACACTTCAAGAGGTCCTTCACCAAGCTATCCTGGTATCTTAAAGCCAGATATAATTGCACCCGGTTCTGTTGTTTTAGCTGCTTATAATCCAAACAATTATGCAGCTACAATAGGGAATTATATTGCCTTATCCAGTAACTTTGCTATGCTCTCTGGAACATCCATGGCTTGTCCGCATGCTACTGGTATAGCCGCACTCTTACAAGGTGCACATCCTGAGTGGAGTGCAGCTGCTATAAGGTCAGCCTTGGTGACTACCGCAAATTCATTAGATAACACTATGAAACCGGTCAGGGACAATGGCGACGAAAATTTGTCTTCTGCTTCGCCTTTAGCCATGGGAGCAGGCCAAATTGATCCAAATCAAGCACTTGATCCAGGTTTGATCTACGATTTAAAACCACAGGAATACGTAAATCTTTTGTGCGCCATGAATTTCACCCAGAAATAAATCTTGACCATCACAAGATCAAAGAGCTACAACTGCTTGAATACTTCCTCTGATCTTAATTATTTTTTAGTTAATTTTTTAGTAGCTCGATTTTTATCTCGAATCGAACTAGAGTTAAAAAAATAAAACTTAATCGAATTCAAACCGAGTTTTAAGTCTCGAATATCGAACCAAGTTTAAGCTTAAGTTAATACTGTATCAACTCGAACTCGATCAATTACATTTTTAAGTACGAGGAGTTGAAGAAGAGAGGAGACATGGAAGAATCTGATGAAGAATCTTCTGAAGAAGTTGATGATGAAGAAGATTACAGCGATCAAATTACTCTCAGAAAGGAAGATGAAGATTTTTTTAAAGCTTTAATTAGGGCGAGGAATTTCTTTTCAAATACTTTTTTTTAGTTATTTTAAGCCGTAATTGGTGTTGTTTTTGAGTAGCTTGTCAATTTTTTGTTGATTATGATCTTGCTTTTTATGATAGCATTTGGATTTTTTTAGTGGTTAGTATGTTTGTAATTTAGGTAAGTCCTAGTGTCACGTCTTGGGTGGGGGCACCAAGCACATCAGGCTCACCAGCACGCGCACCTGAGGTTAAGGCCCGTGCACCTGGTGATGCCCGCAAAGCTACCTAGTCAATTACCACCTAAAAGGGAGTTGGACCGCAAGATCGAGCTGGTGCCCAAGGCCAAGCCACCAGCTAGAGCCCCTTACCGAATGTCCCCACCAGAGTTAGAGGAGTTAAGGAAGCAGTTCAAGGAGTTAGTTGATGCTAGCTTTATCAGGCTATCCAAGGCGTCATATGGTGCATCGGTTCTATTCCAACGTAAGCATGATGGGTCGGTGCAGCTGTGCATAGACTACCGAGCTTTGAACAAGCTAACCATCAAGAACAAGTATCATATCCCACTCATTACGGACTTGTTTGACCAACTTGGGAGTGCAAGGTAGTTCACCAAGCTGGATTTGAGGTCGGGCTACTACCAAGTCAGGATCGTGAAGGGAGATGAGCCCAAGATAGCATGTGTCACTTAGTATGATTTGTATGAGTTCTTGGTCATGCCATTCGGACTCACGAATGCCCCAGCAACATTCTGCACCTTTGTAAACAAGGTACTTCAATCGTTCCTTGATCAGTCTGTTATGGTTTATTTGGATGACATTATAATCTACAACCAGACATTGGAAGAGCATGTAGACCACTTGAGGTAGGTGTTCGAGGTGTTTCGGGCGTACAAGCTATTTGTCAAAAGGGAGAAGTGCTCGTTTGCCTAATAAGAGATCCCATTCCTAGGCCACATAGTGGAAGGTGATAGGATATGCATGGATGAAAGCAAGGTGCATGCCATCATTGAGTGAAAATCGCCAGCCAAGGTCACTGAGTTGAGGTCATTCTTTGGGCTGGTTAACTACTACAGATGCTTTATCAAAGGCCACTCAGTAATAGCCATGCCATTGATTGACTTGCTCAAGAAAGAGAGAGCATGGAAGTGAAGTGCAAGGTGTCAGAAAGCCTTTAATCAGCTGAAGCAGGCTGTGATCGATAAGCCAATCTTGGCCTTGCTAGACCATGCCAACCATATGAGATGCATATGAATGCATCAGACTACGTAATAAGGGGCGTGTTAATGTAGGAGGGACATCCAATCACATTCGAGAGCATGAAACTGAACTAGATTGAGTGCAAGTACACGATCCAAAAGAAAGAGATGACTGCAGTAGTGCACTACTTGCGCACTTGGCGTCATTACCTATTGAGGTCGAAGTTCGAGGTTAGGACAGACAATGTGGTGACCAACTACTTCCAGACGCAGAAGAAGCTATCCCCTAAGTAGGCGAGATGTTAAGATTTTTTTACGAAATTTGATTTCTAGATAGAGTACAAGCAAGGACGGGCGAACTTGGTGGCAGACTCCCTGAACAGAAAGGCTAACCTTGCTGCCATTAATCAGAGGGGTCACTGATGCCACGCATCAAGGATGGATTTATGCATGATCTTATAGCCAAAACTCTTATGGAGTATGCCCAGTAAGGTAAGATTAGGCAATTTTTGATGCAGGATGATTTGTTGTACACTAGAGGCAATAGACTGTTTGTACCATAGCATGGGAAGCTCTGCAGAAAAGTTTTACAAGAACGTCATGACTCAAGGCGGGTTGGACACCCAGAAGTGAACCGCACCTTGGCATTGATAGAGGATCGATACTACTGGCTGCACATGAGAGATGATGTGGAGGCCTATATGAAGACTTGTCTTGTGTGCCAATAGGACAAGGTGGAGCTCAAAAAATTAAGCGGTCTCTTAGAGCCATTGTCAGTGTCAAAGCGACTATAGGAAAGTGTTTCTCTGGACTTTATAGTCGGTTTACCCAAAGCAGAAGGGTTCAGAAGCATCATGGTAGTGGTGGACAGGTTTTCCAAGTATGGAATCTTCATTCCAGCAACCAAGGAATGTCCAGCTGAGGAGGTAGCTCGATTGTTCCTGAAAAACGTGGTTAAGTACTAGGGAGTGTTGAGAACCATTGTTAGTGATTGGGACAAACGTTTTATGGATAGGTTTTGGACTGAGTTGTTCAAGTTGTTGGGGTAAGACTTGAACTTTTCCACCAGCAAGCATCTATAGACCGATAGGCAGACTGAACGCGTGAATGGACTATTGGAGATCTACTTCAGGCACTATATGAGTGCCACGCAAAAGGACTGGCCAAAGCTGCTAGATGTTGTCCAATTTTCTTACAACTTGCAAAAGAACGAGGCAATGAACCAGAGCCCATTTGAGGTTGTGACAAGTCAACAACCACTAACACCTGGTTCGATTGTTGCAGGTTATACAAGGTCAAATCCAACAACGTACAAGTTTGTCAAGGCTTAGCAGGAGCAAGCTAACTTGATCAAAGTCTGTCTATACAAGGCAGCAAAAAAGTCGAAGAAGTGGGCAGACCAGAATAGATGGGACGTGCAGTTTCAGGTAGGAGACTTGGTTTTGGTGAAGCTGCATCCCATTGTGCGTCACAGGACGCTACACAAAGATCTAGTTCAGAGGTATGAGGGACCTTTTCGAGTAGTCAAAAGGGTAGGCAAGGTTGCCTACAAGCTGGATATGACACCCATGCTGAAGGTACACTCAGTGTTCCATGTTAGCATGCTCAAGTCGTTTCATGAGGATAAGAGAGATTCAGGATGGGCAGAGTCAAAACGTGCAACATTGGGAACAAAGACCTCATATGAGAAAAAGGTCCACAGCATCATAGCTGACTGAGAGGTGAGATAGAAGAATTACCAGCCAATACATGAGTACTTAGTGCATTGGAAGGGACTTACAGACAGTGAGGCGAGCTGGGAACCAACAGAGGACTTATGGCAGTTTAGGGACCAGATTAGGTAGTACCATGCAGGGGACATAACGAGGGCATTGAATTCTGCTAGAATGAGCCAGACATTGTTTAACATGGTCCATGCATAATTTTTTGTTAAAGATTGTGGTGGACAAAATATTAAGCTATCTTTGATTATGATTTTAATTTAATTGTAGTAATTCTTGATCTTTGGAACATGTTAAACAATGTAATGCAGTAAGCGAGTGTTTGGTGCATAAGATTATGATAAGATAGGATAAGATGATATCATAAGTATAGTATTTTGTTAATATATCAGGTGTTTGTTTATGGATGTTAAAGTGTATACAAGATGTGTCTTTACTAATGATATTAACAGTCATAGGAATTAAGTGGCCCTGAGTAATGTATATTTTCTTGTATCTAGACTATGCTTTTGAATTGAGGACTTTGTATTAATATGAGATAACTATTGTCTTTTACTACGTTGGTGTGAAAATTTTCAATTTAATAATGATTTTTCATTTTGAAATTTCGATGTTAGGTGAGAAGTCGTGACCCTAGATTGAAGGAAAAAGATGTCAAGCTTTTTGAGTCTGATGACGATGAAAGCCCCGAACAAGAAGAAAGTGAACAGAAAGAAATGGAAGATAAGAAAGCAATGTATTTGAAAGATGTGGTTGCAAAGCACGTGATTGAAGAAGGGCCGGATTTTCAGGAACAGGATGCTGTTGTTCAGCAAAAAAAGAAGGTAAAGACTTATGACAAAGAACAAGAAAGGATAAAGAAGACTACTTTGGATGCAGCACAAGAATTTGACAATAAGGCTAATGGGGATTTCTTGAGAGTAAAGGAAAAAAAGGGTAAAGGTGATGAGCAAAAAGAAGATTTCAATGATGGAGAATTTTCATAGAAGTTGGAAAAATATTTTGGGGAAGAGAAAATGGATGAGAACACAAAGTTCTTGGAGGAGTTTTTTAAAAACAATATGTGGATAGATAAGAAGAGGAAAGATGGTAATCTCGTGATTGATAATGAGGTAGTGGATGAGGAGTTAGGGATGAGGAGGAGATTGAGAGGCAAGAGGGGTATGAGTTGGAGTATAACTTCAGGCATGAGGAGAATGCTAAGGATAGAGTGATAGGGTACTCTAGGAAAGTAGAGGGATCAGTGAGGAAGAAGGAGAACAAGAGGAAAGCACAGAGGGAAAGGAAGGAGGAGAGAACGAGGGTTGCATAGATGGAAAGAAAGGAGGAGCTGAAGCATTTGAAGAATTTGAAGAAGGAAGAAATTAAGAATAGAATGAGGAAGGTTATGGAGATTGCACGCATTAAGAAAGATGAGGAGTGTCCATTCAGTGCAAAGGATTTGGAGGAGGTATTTGATCCTGAGGAGTATGATAAGATGATGAAAGCTGTATTTGATTTGGACTATGAGGATACAATTGGAGACTTGAAAACGAGATTGAAATATGTCAAGATCAAACCTAATAGGTATGGGTTGAAGCCTAAAGATATTTTAGCATTGGATGAGAAAGAGTCAAACCAGGATGTTTCTTTGAAGAATCTTGCTCCATATATGGATAAGGAATGGAAGGTCCCAATAGTAAGAGGCACCAGCAGAAATTGAGTAAGGAGCTTCTTAAAGGGGAAGCAAAGTGGTTAAAAAGGCCGGTAAGAAGAGGTCAAGAGATGCTGCTGAGCAATCGACTTCAAGATTTGGTGGTGGCAAGGAAGATAAGAATGCAAAATTGGAGGATTCAGATGGTGGTATGAAGCATTTATCTAAACAGGGCAAGAAAAAGCGTGTCAAGTATCTACAATATCAGAGTCATGGCGCAAACAATATGGAATGATTTCTTCCAAACTAAAGAAGAATAAACACAAGCATTGACCAACTAGAATAATTCTGTGCGAGGCAGTAGAGGTTATCACCTTATGAGATTTTTATTTTATTCACTTGTGTTTAAAATTTATTCTTGTGGATTGTTTCTTTATGATGAATCTGATTAAATTGTCACCTCCTCTTTAAACAAAACAAGGAAAGTTGAGATTGTGTAATATACTTAATGTTTTTCGGCCACAATTTTGTTATATAGTCGATTTTCTTGTACTGTTAATTTTAGTAACGGGCCTTCCTAATCTTTTCTGTTAGAAGAATTGGCTATTAATGATTAAACAGCTCACAAAATATAGGTGGTTTGAAGGTGCAGTGGTCCTTGTGAACTGCAAATGAAAGGAAAAGCAATAAAATCATATCAGTATACAGTGATGGATTCGTCCCATTGAAATCCTAAATTATTTTCCCTAGGTCCACTAATTGACATTTGATGAGTTATACGCTTCCACTGGATACATTTTTTAAATTTATTTTTATTTATTATAATATTATTATTAATTTATGTACTTATATATAACTTTAATCTGATCATGATGAGTTGTATACTTGCCATATGGTAAGGTTTTTATTTTCTAAATTTACTTTTTTATTTAGTTATAATATTATTATTACTTTAATTTAAAAATTCAAAAACTAGTACCGGATTCTCTAGATGAATCTCCAAGTATGTTTTTTAGCTCTAGTATTATCGATTGATTTTCCTTGAAACTTATGAAATGGAAGAAATTGAGTTTGAGAGAATGGGAATGGCCATCATTATTTACAACTGTTTTATGACTCCTGAGATGGAGGAATATACATTTCTTTTATAATCTTACAATCTCCCAATTTTGTAAGTTGGAAATCATTCACAAAACAATGAATAAGTGGAAACACCAGCCATCCTTCTCAAATCACAAGATATTTTTTTATAATTTATTTTTAAAACAATGATAGAGAAATATAATTAAGTTAATAATAAGAATCTAAAAAAAAATTGACAAATTTATTATAGCAATTAATAAATTTTAAAATAATTTATAGGGCTCGAGCCCTATAAATTCATGAAGAAAAGTGCAAGAAAATTATGTGAAGGAAACAATATACAAAAACTGGACACCGTTTACTATGACGAGAAAATAAATGATGTGACTTGGTTTTTCTAGCTGACAGCTACTTGATAATGCTAATCGGGTACCGTTTACCATGACGAGAAAATGAATGATAACTTGGGTTACAATTTATGATTAATGCTTGGAAACCAACGAGCTCTGGCCGGATTGGTTACGTCCTGGCCTTTTGGGGATGGTGATACGCGGGTAGGGGTCTCGAGCCCTATTAATTCATGAAGAAAAAGTGAAAGAAAATTATGTAAAAAAAACAGCGTACAAAAAGTGGGCCTTGTCAGCTATAATGTGAGTTGGTTTTTCTTGCTGACGGCTAATTGATAGTGCCGTTCGGGTACCGTTTAATCCTAGAGAAGGAAAAAAATGACACGATTAAATGGAAACCGTCTTATTTGGTAGTTATCTTCAAATTTTATTTTTTCTTCAACAATTTTTAGGACTCAGTAGCTTCCATCTAAACCACATTAAGACATTCGCTTCCATATATAAATAAAGCAGGGCATTGATCTTGGTTGTCCAAGAAAAAAATGGGGTTTTTAAATGGGATTTGTCATCTAAACTGTCTGCTCTCTGTCTTCCTGGCATCTCTTTTTTTCACTCTCCATGTTCAGGCAGAGTCAGTAAATACATATATTGTCCATATGGACAAGTCCTTCATGCCCAAAATCTTTACTAGTCATCATAGCTGGTACTCCTCCACAGTTGATTCTCTGAAATCAAGAAACATTGCCTCATCGAACGACCCTCGATCCTCACCATCTCTCCTATACTCTTACGATAGTGGAGCTCATGGTTTTAGCGCTGTTCTATCCCCTGATGAACTAGAAAGACTAAAGAAGTCTCCAGGATTTGTCTCAGCTTATACTGACATGAGGGTCACTCTTGACACAACCCATACCCCTGAATTCCTGTCTCTCAACCCTTACTCCGGGCTGTGGCCTGCTTCAAACTATGGGGAAGATATCATTATTGGTGTTATTGACTCTGGTGTTTGGCCAGAGAGTAACAGCTACAATGATGATGGCATGACTCCAGTTCCATCCTGGTGGAAAGATAAATGCGAGGAAGGACAGGAATTCAACTCCTCCATGTGTAACTTGAAGTTAATTGGAGCTAAGTACTTCAACAAAGGTGTGATTGCAGCAAATCCCGGAATCAAAATAAGCATGAATTCTGCTAGAGACACTGCTGGTCATGGAACACATACTTCCTCCACTGCTGGTGGGAACTATGTCAAAGATGGAGTATCATTTTTCGGTTATGCTAAAGGTACGGCAAGAGGTATGGCCCCACGTTCCAGGGTGGCCATGTACAAGGTCCTATGGGATGAGGGGCGCTACTCAGCTGATGTTCTTGCTGGTATGGACGAGGCTATTGCTGACGGTGTCGATGTGATTTCAATATCTATGGGGTTTGATAAAGTGCCATTGTACAAGGATCCCATTGCAATTGCTTCCTTTGCTGCCATGGAGAAAGGTGTGGTAGTCTCATCATCGGCTGGAAATTATGGGCCAAATTTAGGGACCTTACACAATGGAATCCCATGGGTCATAACAGTTGCAGCTGGTACCATTGATCGTTCTTTTGCTGGAATTGTGTCTCTAGGAAATGGGAAAACCATGACAGGGTGGACCTTGTTTCCTGCGAGTGCTTTAGTTCAAGACTTTCCATTGATTTACAACAAAAGTTTATCAGCATGCAATTCAAGCCTATTGTTATTAGACGCCCCGGATGGGATCATCATATGTGACAATACCGGTTCTCTCTATACTCAAATAGCACGTATGTCAAAGGCGCAAGGAGCAATATTTATTTCTGATGAACCTGAATTAGACAGTATGCCCTGTCCTGGTGTTGTGATTAGCACTGAGGATGCACCTGCTCTTATCAAATATGCTACAAGTAATAAGCATGCTACAGCTAGCATTAAGTTTCAACAGACAATTTTAGGGACAAAGCCTGCACCAGCCGTGGCATCTTACACTTCAAGAGGTCCTTCACCGAGCTATCCTGGAATCTTAAAGCCAGATATAATGGCACCCGGTTCTGTTGTTTTGGCTGCTTATAATCCGAACAATTATGCAGCTACGATAGGGAATTATATAGTCTTATCTAGTAACTTTGCTATGCTCTCTGGAACATCCATGGCTTGTCCGCATGTTTCTGGTATAGCCGCACTCTTAAAAGGTGCACATCCTGAGTGGAGTGCAGCTGCTATAAGGTCGGCCTTGGTGACTACTGCAAATCCATTAGATAACACTATGAAACCAATCAGGGACAATGGCGATGAAAATTTGTCTTCTGCTTCGCCTTTAGCCATGGGAGCAGGCCAAATTGATCCAAATCAAGCACTTGATCCAGGTTTGATCTACGATGCAACCCCACAGGACTACGTGAATCTTTTGTGCGCCATGAATTTCACCCAGAAACAAATCTTGACCATCACAAGATCAAAGAGCTACAACTGCTTGAATCCATCTTCTGATCTTAATTACCCATCTTTTATTGCTTTATACAATCCTAATGTCACGAAAACTACAAGCAAAATATTCCGCAGGACTGTGACAAATGTGGGAGAAGGCGTTACAACTTACAAGGTTAAGATAGTGCAGCCTGGGGGTTCAACAATTGCTGTTTCGCCAGAGACATTGGTCTTTGGAAAAACATATGAGAAGCAAAGCTTTAGTGTGACTATAAGTTACAGCAGTAACAAGAAGGGGAAAGTTTCATTTGGAGAACTTGTTTGGGTTGAAGAAAATGGAAAACACAAGGTCAGGAGCCCTGTTGTTGTGTCACCTGTTGTAATTTCCTGAGAGGATTTATTAGGTGCTTTAGGGTTAAGATTAATGTCTAAGTACAAGAATTGAAATAGTTTAAGCAAATATAAGTCCTGAATAATATGCTTTTTCACCGTCTATATTCATAGTTAACATTTTCTCTAGTTCAAAATGTCTAATTTTCAGCAATACTTAATTATTAAGATGCGACATGTGGATAACCATTATTTTCTCCATCTCCATTCCCAAAGTTCATTTCTTATGATTTTATATTAAGGCCAATCAGTTCCAAGGATTCAATTTTGTCCACAAGCCATTTCTTTGACGACATTATCGATCATCTATGCCTTTCAACAATGTAAAAAATGAGCAAAAATATGTCAGTCATGTTGATATCTTGCAAGTTTTGCTCTGAAAGGACTTCCCATATGGGACAATTATTTAAGAAATTGACTGGCTACTGCCAGCAACCCTGAAAGCACTTTGCTTCTAAATTGTGGGTTTTAACTGACCTTTTTCAAAAATTGACAACCTTCTTTTTTTTTTTTTTTCCTTTATTTTGTTTGATTTGGCACTGTTGTAACGATTATAAAAAAATAATAATAAAAAACTTTCTATCTTGCTTAGCGTGCCAGCAAAGATTCCTTGTGAGGAAGTTTCTTCTGGGAAAGACATGTTCATGCGTGTTAGATTTTTTTTTTTTTTCCTTCAATCAAAAACTCTTTTCGAATTCACATACGCCAAGCCATCTACTTCCAACATTTATCAAGAACAAGAGCTTCACCAGTTACCCTTTTTCAACAGAAATATTTTTGAAGATCTTTCTCCCCAAGAAAAACAATCCCAACTGAACCTATCCCTAATGATCTGTTTGCTTTGAGAAATACAAAAAAGGAAGCAAAAAAATTGAGTAAAAGATGATAAGAAGGATAAGCAGCCCTTTTTGTTTTCAGGCCAAATCATATGCTATAATTCTAATGTTCTTTGCAGTTTCAGTAGAGCTAAGTCAGTCATAAATGATTCTACGCAGCCAAAGTTACAAACAAAAAAAAAAAAAAAAGGAAAAAAACAAAATATTCTTGTTCTGCATACGCCCAAAGTGCTTTTTTTTTCCAGTACTTAATGCTATATGAAGTATAAATTAGTTATATTACTGCTTTCATGAACTAATCAAATAATTTTTTTTTATATATTGAGGCTGTTGAATTATCCCTATCACTGGAATTAAAGAAATAAATTCATGTCATTATAAAGTATTAAAAACTATGGCCGGGGCTATATATAATAATGTGGAATAATTTCCGGATATGAAAACAAGTAAAAATCCATTTTTTTTAAATTCAAATTCTCAAATATATATATATATATATATAGAGAGAGAGAGAGAGAGAGAGAGAGATTCCAATAAAAAAAAAGTCATTGGCAAAATCTTTTTTAAATTTAATATAAATAAAGAGGATTATTTATATAACTTCAACCTTTATCTATCTTGAGTTCGATATTTTCATGCGCTGATATTTCTACAAGGATGTAATAAATTTAAATTTAAATTTGCTATAAATTTTTTTTATCTTCAAACTATCATAAAATTTAAATTTATAATAAATTTATTAAACTTATTATAAAAAATTTAATGAGTATTAAATTTAAATTTTAATATTATAAAATTGTTTTATCTTCAAACTATTAACTCCTTCATATTAAAACTGACATATCTATACATTCACAATCATGTCAATAAACCCAATTCTTAAGGACCACAAGCAACAGGTCTCTGTGTTTATCGCCAAATAAAAGCAATGGAAAATGCCCACATTAAGCCTGGTGTTTGACCCTTGGTTCCCACTCACCACCCACCACCCATCTAAAATAATTAATAGCTATCCATAGCTTACGTGTTTAACTTCTATTTTGGTGTCAATGAAGTATTGATAGTGATAAGAAAGAAGCTTTAAAATAATTGAGATTTTAAATTTAAATTTAATTATTTAATTCTATTTTAATTTATTAATTAATTATTTAATTATCATAATTTAATCATGATGTGGGTTTGTGTTGCGTACCATAGTCGAATTGCCTCTTAGCTGCTTGATTCATCATTCACCACTCAAAGCTTGAGATTGAAGAGTGGGCTAGGCTTACTTTTACGTAGATGAGCGCCCATGCTAAAACCCTTGCAAAAGATTCTTTTTATTGTTGGCAAAAAAAAAAAAAAAAACCTTGTAAAAGATTAAAGAGTTAACTTAAAGGCATTTGTCCCAAAAAAAAAAAAAAAAAACTCCAATGTTATCAGTTCAATCTAAAATTCCTTTTAAATACCTTGAGTTGTTTGTTGTTACAAGAGAAAACTAAAGTAAAGAAATTAAAGAGAAATGTTACGTGCATTTCTTAAAAATTATTTTATGTATAAAAATATAAAATTTAAAAGTATTAAAAATAATCGAGCTAAATACTTTTATAAATTTTAAATTAACAAATTAACCTTAAATATATAAAATTATTAATTAATTTAAGTTTAATTTAAATTAACTAAAATTAAAAATAGTGTTTATATAAATTTAAAATTTTTAAAATTTTAATTAAAAAATGTTAAGAGTGATTGATTAAAATATTTTTAATATATTTTTTATAAATTTAAATTTAAATAAAATTTCTATTTTATTCTTAGATTTTTATAATTAGGCTAAAAAAGTGCTACAAGTGATTAATTAAAATTACCTTAATAAAATTTTAATTTCCAAAATGTCAAAAGTAATTGATTAAAATATTGTTAGATTTTTTTATAAATTTTAAGTTAAATTATTTTTTTTTATTATTAAACACTTTTTTAATAATTAGAATGAATTTTCAAATCTAATAAAAATAAAAATAGAACTAAAACAAAGTTTAATGTACATAAGAATAGAAAAATTATATGAAGTTTATTTCTTTAGTCGTTTTAAAAACAATTATATATGTAGTTTATATTAATAAACAAATCCATTAAAGATAATCATAATTAAACCATTGAAGCATTTTTTTTCTATTTTTTACCTTTCATTTTTTTTTCGTTTTAATAGATTTGTTAACTATATATATGCTAATGATTTTATTATTTGTATGTTTTATGAATTGATTATTTAATTTGATTATTGATAACATAATTAAATCATTTTAGTCCCTTAAAATAATTTTTTAACATTTCATTCTTACAGTTAAGTCTAACATCTATAATTAATTTCTTTTTTGTATTTTTTTTCTTCTAAAATTTAATAATTGTTGTTTTCATAAATAAAAGTAAATATCAAATCAAATATAAATCAAATGTATACCATTTACCAACAATTAGTACTATATAATTCATTGAACACTTTAATTGAATTTTTCACCTGTAGAATTAAATAATTTAAAAGGTGGTAGAGCTACAATAGTTTAGGATTGGGTCTCATCAAATTATTATAAAAATTATTTATTTTGATTAAAATAATAATTAATTTAATTATCTTTTAACTTTTATGTTAATATGCATATATATGATTAATTTATATTTCAAGATTATCTAATCTTTCTCAATTGATTAAATTATTCATTTTTTTTGTTCATTTAGGTGATTGAATAACTGAACATGAATTATTCTGAGTAAAGAATTATCAAATGAAGTAAAATTAATTGTTTTTGGTGATTTCTTTCAAAGTGAGACAAAATTCATTGAAACTATCTTTTGAACATATTTATGCCAAAAAAAAGTTTATTCATAAAAATTTATGTTGTTAATGTTAAAAATGAAATAATTATAAATTGTATAGGTATTACATAACAAGTTTGTTATTTTGAAAATTAAAATTTTCTTAAGAAAACATGACAAGTACTAAGGTTAGAAGTTTATTTTATTTTATTTTATTTTTTAAAATTATGTATTTTAATATTTTTTTATAATAAAAATTAGGGAAGAATCAACTTACACCCAAAAAAATTTTTACTCCTTCTTACTTATTTTTCTAACCATTAATTTTAATAAATCCAATAGATGAGAGAGAAAAGCCAAAAAGAAAAAAAAATTATTTAATAAAAACTTTTTTATGTAAGTTGATCCTATTCCATAAAAATTTAATGTATAATAAAAATATTCAAATAAAAGAAAATTTAAGTTTTCAATTGGTAGAACATATTATTATATTCAATTGATGGAAGCACAAATGAAAAATTATCCTAAATAAAAAAATGAGACAAAATTGACTGGTCATGTATAGCTTTATCTTCTCCATATAAGAAAAAAGCTTAGTGCTACATGATATTTCAATAAAAAATATACAATGTATTAATTTAAAATTTTTTAGGATTAATATGAAACTCTTTTGTAGACACTCCATTCTGTCCGAGAGTTTTTCTAACATAAAAAAATGGATATTCGATCATAGGTTAGGCCTGATTGTAAAACTTTGGGCCTAACAAAAAAAATTTTAATTTTAATTTGATTTAATTTTAATTTTATTATTTTCTTAAAAAAGTTAAAAAAAGGAAGGGAAATAAAAAAAATGAGGAATTGGGGATTTGATCTCAGAGTTGATTATGAATTAATCTTTGGGCTTAATTCATACAATCATTAATAAATCAAATAAAATCATGTAATTAATCATGTATTAAAATCAAATCACATGCCAGATTATGTCAATCTATTTTCTCAAATTAAAGGAATTTAATCCCTATAAATGAACAGAAACCACACACAAATAGAAGGAGAAAAAGATTATACCGAAACACCTGAGAAAAGAAAAAAGAAAAATCATTCAGAAAAAAGATATGATGTTTGACAGTAGGTTTTTTTTTTTCCTAGAATTCTTTGCCAAATTTAAAAACGTGAGAATTTATTATAGTAAGCTACACAACCCAACCACTTAACTTTCATTTTTTTTAATTTTATTTATTTAAATGTTTTATTTATTTATTTAATTATCTATTATTTTTTAAATATATTTTTATAAAAATATATTTAAATAAAAGTTTTACCAATAGATTGGAAGGTAATCATTTTTTTATAAAAAAAAATAAGATTTTATTAACATATTGAAAAACCTTATAACTTTTTTTTTATTTCAAAAAAATAAAAAACATTACCAATAGATTGGAGAGCCAATATTTTATTTCCAAAATATGGCTTTACCAACATATTGGGAAGCCTTATAATTTTATAAAAAAAATCAAGTTTTAAAAAAACTAAAATAATAAAATAATATTTCATGTCTTTTTGCATAAAATCCTATCAACAAATTGAAGGATAATTTTCAACAGAAGTCTTACCAATAGATTAGAGGATATTTTTTACTATAAATCTGGTTTATAAGTATTTATTTCTGAAAGTAAAATTAAATGAATCTGACGACAATGCCTCTTCAAAGCATAACAAATAGTCTTCTTGAATTCTTTTTAAGTGAGAAAATATTCTTAAATTATTACCAACATATTGGAGTAATTTAAGAAAAATTTTTAATATTAAATTATTTAGTAAATTTTAAATATGTTTTAAAACTTGGATAACTTAAAATCATATTGGTACTATCTTTTAAATGGGTACTGTGAGAATACTATAACATTTCTCACTTATAACCATACTCTCAGACCTAAATTTTGATTTCATGAACTATAATCTACTATTTTGTCAAGTGACCAATCACACCTTAACAAAAAAGATGGTGACGACTCTTTTAGTCTATGTCTATTGGTAGGTCCATGGATCTATATGTTATGGTAGTTTGACAACTTCACTGAGGACATCAAAAGTTAGGCCAATAAATGATTTCTTGTTATCCAAGCCTTACCTAATAAATTTGAGATTTTTTTTCTTATTTGTATTTATTTGTTTATTCATTTTATATATATGTCATTCATTTACACATGCATAACATAAACTCTACATCCGAGTTGTATCTTTTAGGAGGGAGTAAAATACTTATGCTTTTATGAGATTTTATGTCTCCACATGGGCTAGTGAAAAACTCTCACTCAAATTGAATCATTTTTTGCTTGTAGCTTATAATTGGTAATGATCATGATGCCTTACTAATTTATAATAGCAATGATGTAAGAAATAATTTGAGAACCCTTAGATTGTCAAACTTTTGAACCTAGCATGTAAATAAACCCTAAGGATCTAAACCTAAGTTAGAGATATGCCTTTTCTTGTGTTGAAAAACTCTAAATAAGACACATGATAAGACATATATTCTGTTTATGAATTTATATATTTTTCTTTGTATATATTATTTGCATACTAACCATTTACACTATTTTTTGTATATATTATATTGTTCTTTGTATATATCATGTTTACTAACCCTTTTCTTGTATTGTATATGCATGCA